CGAGCATGGATGAATAGTGGAGAGAGGTTCAGTAGTACTTATGATCTTGTTGAGCAAACATACTACCTTTATGTTCGAGTGGTGAAAGCAAAAGATCTTCCCCAGAGTGGTGTCACTGGAAGCTGTGATCCTTATGTAGAAGTCAAGCTAGGGAACTATAAAGGGCGAACCAAGCATTTAGAGAATAAAAGGAATCCAGAGTGGAATCAGGTTTTTGCTTTCTCAAAGGACCGCATCCAAGCATCTACATTGGAAGTCTTTTTAAAGGAGCGAGAGATGGTGGGGAGGGATGAGTACATAGGGAGGGTGGTGTTTGACCTAAGTGAGGTCCCAACCAGGGTCCCACCTGATAGCCCATTGGCACCTCAATGGTACAGGCTGGAAGATCGAAGAGGACAGGGGAAGGTAATGGGGGAGGTAATGCTGGCTGTTTGGATGGGCACGCAAGCTGATGAAGCCTTTCCAGAGGCATGGCACACAGAAACAGCTTTTGTTCAGGGAGAAGGGTTATTTAGCATTCGTTCAAAAGTTTACATGACCCCGAAATTATGGTACCTGAGAGTGAATGTGATTGAAGCTCAGGATGTGATTTCAAATGATAGAAGCAGAGCTCCAGAGCTTCTTGTGAAAATACAAGTTGGCAACCAAGTTTTGCGGACTAAGATAAGTCCACCAAACACCATGAATCCGCTTTGGAATGAGGATCTGGTTTTTGTAGTTGCCGAGCCCTTTGAGGAGCAGCTAGTCCTCACTGTTGAGGATCGTGTTCATCCAGCAAAAGATGATGTGCTAGGCAAGATAATACTACCAGTCAACATCTTTGAGAAGCGGCTAGACCACAGAACAGTTCATTCTCGTTGGTTCAACCTTGAGAAATTCGGATTTGGAGTCTTGGAATCTGACAGGAGGATGGAACAGAAATTTTCCAGCAGGATGCACCTCAGAGTCTGCCTTGAGGGTGGGTACCATGTATTGGATGAGTCAACAATGTATGTCAGTGACACGCGCCCAACATCACGTCAACTTTGGAAGCCACCAGTCGGAATTTTGGAAATGGGTCTTTTAGGTGCTCAAGGTCTTCTTCCCATGAAGACAAAGGATGGCAGAAGCACCACAGATGCATACTGTGTGGCAAAATATGGTCAGAAATGGGTTCGGACCAGAACGATTCTGGATTCTTTTGCTCCTAAATGGAATGAGCAATACACATGGGAAGTTTATGACCCATGTACAGTAATAACATTGGGAGTGTTTGACAATTGCCACTTAGGCGGATCTGAGAAGCAGGGTACTGCTGGTAGTTCAGTCAGAGATTCAAGAATTGGAAAGGTAAGAATCAGACTATCCACACTTGAGTCTCATCGTGTTTATGCAAATTCCTATCCTCTCCTTGTTCTGCATCCAGGTGGGGTGAAGAAGATGGGAGAACTCCAGCTAGCAGTTAGATTCACCAGCTTATCCTTGGCCAACATGATTTACATGTATGGCCATCCCTTACTCCCTAAAATGCATTACCTCCACCCTTTCACAGTAAACCAAATAGACAGCCTTAGATTCCAAGCCATGAACATAGTGGCAGCCAGACTAGGCAGAGCTGAACCGCCATTAAGAAAGGAGGTGGTGGAATACATGTTAGATGTGGATTCCCACCTGTGGAGTATGCGAAGAAGCAAAGCTAATTTCTTCAGAATTATGGCAATTTTGTCAGGCACAATATCAATAAGCCGGTGGTTTGGTGATGTTTGCCATTGGAAAAACCCTATTACTACAGTCCTAGTTCACATTCTCTTCTTAATATTGATATGGTACCCAGAGTTGATACTACCAACGATGTGCCTCTACATGTTTTTCATTGGTCTATGGAACTACAGGTTCCGCCCACGTAACCCACCACATATGGATATCAAACTTTCATGGGCAGAAGCAGTACATCCAGATGAACTTGATGAAGAATTTGACACATTTCCTACTTCAAGGCCACATGAAATCATTAGGATGAGGTATGATCGGCTTAGAAGTGTGGCTGGAAGAATTCAGACAGTGGTGGGTGACTTAGCGACTCAAGGGGAGAGATTCCAATCCCTGCTAAGCTGGCGGGATCCAAGAGCGACTAGCTTATATATAATGTTCTCCCTTTCTGCAGCTGTGCTTCTTTATGTGACTCCATTCAGAGTAATTGCTCTAGTAGCAGGACTGTACACCCTGAGGCACCCGAAGTTCAGAAGCAAGCTGCCTTCTGTTCCTAACAACTTTTTCAAGAGATTGCCTTCTCGAGCTGACAGCTTGCTCTAAGCAATAGGTGCTAGTCAATTGATTGACACATCTGTAGTTTCAATGTCTTTTTCATTTTTACTTCTTATCAAAGTTTTATATATTTTCCGAATATAAAAAGTATGTTTCACGTTTCTAAGTTATATTGCATATATTTTTTTTTCTCTTAACAAAAGAGGCAAAACCTTAGCCCTACTTCTGAAAATGACGTCTAGGATTATCTAATATTCTGTTTTTTAGACAAGAAACGAGGAAGAACTTTGTTTTTTGTATGGAAGACACTTGAGACCAGTTTACGTAAACAGGAAACACACCATATTTCTAACTGAACAGCAAATAAAAACTGGACACCTTAAATATACCTGGTTTCCACAAGGATTGGGAGAGTCACAATAGAATTGATCGATAATTATAGGATTTGCAACGTCTTCCATCATCACATTTTCAAAGCGTATTGCTTTGACATAACCAGATCCTCCCTGCATGAAGAAGGCAAGGAGAGAGATTCAAGTTCTGATAATTTAAACTCAAAGGAAGAATCAAAAAGTAGATTTAAAAAATAATAGTACCAGAGCTTGTACAAAAATTTTAATTTTAAAGTAAATTCAATTTTTAGAGCAAGGATTCATAAAACAATTAAAAACTTGAGAGAGAAGGAATGCATGCAGTCCTACTTCTACCGTGTACACGCAGCAATGTCATGTTACACCAACACAGTAAGTCAGCTCTTTGAGATGATCGTTTTCTTAATTATCTGTTCCATTATTCTGTTCTCAAATTTACCAGAAGGGATGGCACATCAAGAACTTACCTTGTTCCCCATCAAAGCCATTTCTTTTTTTTATTATTTGAGAAGGGAACTGGGAGGGGGGGGGGGGGGGGTGGGGGGGTTGGCGGTGGGGTGTGAAGGGAGTTGGAAATGACATCTGATTTTTAAATGCTTACCTGCCAAGTCTTAATTCTGAGTCCATTACTTGCACCCTTTATAAATGCACCACTCAGGACAACTTTTGTGACAATGCCAGTTGAATTATCCTTGCCCAGGCTTCCTATGCTGCAGTAGCAAATCAGATTAGTGAAATACAGAATATGCCAAGATTTAAGAGGTCACATCACAGAGGCAATGATTAACTTGTTAGAACTTAGAACATCTAATAATTGAAAGAAATACCTAATTCCATGTCCAGGACCGCAATAAATCTTCTTCATCTTGATAGCTGAACTGGCATTGACGATTGAAACACAATCATCCCCTAGTGTACAAGTGTCAGCGAAAATTTAGCTAGTTAGCAGTCTTAGCATGCCTGAATCAAATAACGTTTTTTGGTGCATATTTAACATAGTGCACACTTTCTTTTTTTTATTTAATGTAGGTTACAGAGCACTCTTTGAGTCTTAAACTAAAGGACACAATACAATATGATCCTCTTATTATCCCAAGTATTCATTTGTAAAAGGTTCAGATTATGTTAGCAGCAACATTTAAGGACGGAGCAGCTCAAAGTTGCAAAATACCTGTTCCGATTTTACAGTCGAGGAGAGCAACATTTGTTGATTCAGTGATATGTATTCCATCAGTGTTAGGACTGTCTTCTGGGGAAGAAACTAGCACATTGGATACTCGCACAGAATTGGAACGGGCAATAACAAAGTGCATTTGTTGGCTGTTCTGGATAGTCAGACCCTTTACCCTTATAGCAGAGCTTGAATCTATTGTCAGTGCCTTCAGCAGAAAAATAAAATAAAAAATACAAAAAACAAAAAACTTATCAGCTTGTTGCATCCTTTAGATTCCGATAATTATGATCTACAAATAACTTGCTTAACAAAACCGCAAGTTCAACAACCCCATCATACAACATGACAATCAAATCTAGATTTTTCCAGAATCACATAAATAGAGTATTGTAGAACCAACCCACAATCCGTGCAAAATAAATAATTAAATATGCATATAGTTCCAACATAAAGCCGATAAGGGATACGTACTGTTGGTGCTCCTTTGCATGGCTGCAGGATCAAGGAAAATTGACAAAACAGACAGATGGATTAGTACATACTTATCAATACAATCAAATTTATCAGTCGGTAATACAAAAATCAGATGATGACAACGAGTTACATTGGTCTTGTTCTTTTTGCAGGATGCAGACCACCATTTACTGCCAGATCCATCAATCACCCCTTTGCCTTGGAAAATAACACTTGTTAAGTTGTGAAAATTCAACCAAGTCCGGGAAAATTTTGGATCCCAGTCCTTGGGCTCTCCTGGTGCAACTATTGTACCATCAACCTGCACACCAAGTACACAACAGTAGCCAAAAAAAACTCTCATCAGAAATAGTTACATTCTATGGGGTTCACATCAACGTAGCAGATATCACAGCTAGATTGGAGCGTTGACATATTGACATTTCTGGATAAAAACTTACCTGGATAACTAATCTGCCTGCACACGGTCCTTCAAATTTTGTTGCGTTGACAAGATAACGACGCCCTTCAGGAACTAAGAGGACTGCTTTTTGTGAAGAACAAGCCTGCTTCCATGCACTAACAAAGGCCTGAAAATATTTTCATAGAAAATACAAGTTTAGCAGCATTGTCAGAACTTACACATGCAGGTATAAGATTTATTAATCAATAAAGTTCATGCTGCATCAGGATTACCTGGGTATCATCAGAATTTCCATCTCCATTAGCACCAAAGCTATCGACATTCACAAGAACATGTCCAGCATTCGTACTGGTCCATGAAGGCATTTCAAAAGCTTCTATCTCATCTTCTTCATATATGTCGAAGCTTTCGAGTTCTCCAAGCATAGCAATTTTGTCATGTACCTCATATTCTGCAGTCCCATGAGCTGTTATTAATAAGCTAAGGAAAAGAACATAGAATAATTCCATAATTTGTGAGTTTTTGCAGGATTAGAAAATTAGAGTAGAATAATTTAGGAGCAGACACTGGGTTTGCATTTATATGCAAGATTAGCATTCAAAATGAAGAGATTTATGAAAATCTGGCTTGGCTTGAAAGTAGATGAAGAGCCAACACTTTCTCCATGCCTACACTTCAAGTATAAGTGAAAAATCTTTTACATATCTTTGCTTTACTCTTAAACCAGTAGACCTTAGTTTCACCAGTCAAAAAAGCTCATGAACTCCTCCAACTAGCAGACTAGCACCATATATGCATTTCTATCATAGACCTTCCAATAATAGATTTAAAAATTGTAATTTCAAACTTTCCCATATTACCCGTAATAAAATCATTAGCTAATTTTTTAAGAAAGAGAACATTGGTGTAGTGGAAATGTATAACTATAAATAATAACAAAAAAAATTCATAAATAAAATAATAACAACAATGATGGTATTGTAGCTTGAATCCTTATAAATAACCCAATAAAATGAGGCCTATAAATTAGGGACGAAAGGAGAAATAGTTTTTGGCATCATCAAGCAGACCACCCAACAACTGTAAAGATCTGAGTGATACAAAAGGATCAGACACGCCATAAAACCAGAAATAGATAAATCAAGAATAAGTTATGGTCAACTATATAATTAATCTGAACTCTTCCGTACTAGAACAGCTTCTAGATGATACTTTCCAGGCTACCCAAGTCTTTCCCTTTCTAGAAGGATAGTTGGCCCAGGCTCATCAAAATGCAGGTAATTATTTCATATAAATGCAGCTCAAAAATAAAATATTCAAATCCTGTACTTTTTAAAATATGAACATCTTGCAATAAGATTCATGGCCTATTCTGTGACATTACCACAATTCAAACGATAAAGCTGTGACCAATCTCCCTAACCAAATGTCTTGCCATTCCAATCTCTCTGTATTGCATGGACAATTCAGAATCTCCAACTTCATGATAAAAGTTTGAAACTTGCAGACACGCTGCAGAATTTTCGGGTTCAAGCTCCATCAAACGTTTTGCAACCCTTTGTCCAACAACTTTATTCTTGTGCATCCTGCAACTTCTCAGCAGTGAACTCCACATGAAAGAATCATCCTTTACAAAAGACAACTTCAACAATTCTTCCGCTTCATATACCAACCCCGCACGTCCTAAGAGATCAACCATGCATGAATAATGCCTTTGATCTGGTTCAATACCATGGGGTGATTTCATGGACTCAAAAACCCGTCTTCCTTCCTCTACTAAACCTGAATGATTACACCCTGTCAAAACACACAAGAATGTCACCCTATCTGGTTCCAAACCCTTTCGGAACATCATTTTGAGCAATTTTAGGCATTCTCTTCCTAATCCATTCCGGGCATACCCATTTATAATTGATGTAAAGGAGACAACATTGGGTGAACGTAAACCCTCAAATATGCTGTGTGAATGATCAACCTGGCCTAATTTGGAATATACATCAATTAGTGAACATGAAACCACAATATGAGATTCTAATCCATTTTTTATAGCAAGAGAATGAAGCAATGTGCAGCTTGTTAAGCTCACAAAAGAAGATCCTGACAATGCTTTCAGTGCAGTGGACAAGGAGAATTCATCAAATTCAATCCCCTCATCAACCATGAATTTAAACAACTCGACCACCTCTTCAGCACAAGTACAATGTAACATAGATGTCAAAAGAGCATTGCAGCACTCCCTAGTTTTATAAAAGCATTCCTCATATATATTAAATGAACTCTCAATCTCGTAACATTTTCCATACATATCAATAAGAGCAGACTGAACATGGATGCTTCCACAATCAAAACCTAACTTTAGAGCAAAACAATGCAACTGTCTTCCCACAACGAGATTCCTACTTTTGCTGCACGAATTCAAGAGCGCAACAAGTGAACGAACAGATGGTTTCATACTCCAGTACTGCATCCGCACAAAACATTCAAGTGCATCAAACAACACCCCACTATTAGCATATGCAGAAACAATTGAATTCCACGAAATCACAGCATTATAAGGAATAACTTCAAATGATTTCAGAGCATCAATCAGAGTCCCACAAGCTGAGTAAAAATCCACCAATGCATTAGCAACAAACCGATTCGATTCAACCAGCCCAGCCTTGAGAGCATGACAGTGCAACTGTTCTCCTTGAATTACAAAGTTTCCATTACAACAGCCCTGAAGCAAATAACAAACCATAAGATCTTTCAACACAACCCCATCAAATTTCACTCTTGAATACTGCCTTATAACCTCATCCCACAAACCCAATTTACAAAATCCACGAAAAACCGAATTCCAAACACCATCATTCCTTTCAGGCATCTCATCCAAAAATTTCAACCCATCATCAACAAACCCTGATTGCATATATAGGTCCACAATTGAACCCCCAATATACAAATTCCCACAAAACCCAAGTGAAATCACTCTACAATGTACTTGAATTCCCTCAAAATAAAACCCATTATTGCTACAAATGCTCATGACAGAGGAACATGTTGATGGGCTTTCACTAAAACCCTGAAATACCATTTCAGAATACAATTCAAACGCTTTTACTGGCATTCCATAGCGTTTGTACCCAGAAATTAGCAAGTTCCAAGAAACAACATCTCTCAGAGACATTTCATCGAACAGTTGGTGAGCAGAGGCTAAAGACCCTGATCTGATGTGATTGTCAATAGCACGATTGTTTAAGAAGATAAGCTCAGAAATGTCAGTCTTATAGTAGGAATCAAGATGCAAGCGCCGGAAAATTGCAGGGACTTTCCGGCATAAAACTCCCAATAATTTGGGCATTTAATTTATAAAATTAACAGATATGAGTAACATGCGAACATGACACACCAATACACACGATAATAGCATTAACTTAAAAGGATTAGGAATTCTTTTTCCTTTTAAGGCTCTAAAACAATCTTTAATTAACCTCTTATTATCAAGAACTTATTAAAATGGAGGAAAACATGTGTACTTTTATTTTTTCTTGTTTAATTCCTAGTGGTAACAAGGTGTGAATATTACTACTCTGTATACAAAGTATCTCATTTTGTCCTAAAATACTTATAATGTTCCCTAGAAAAAAAATACTAGTAAAGTTGCTAGATCTAAATATTTTTTAGGGATGTTTTTACCATTATTATGTATAATTACGTATTTTAGTAAGGTACTATGGGTATGGTAAAACATACTTCGATTTTTCTTTTTTTTTTAAATAACGAAAATACATACTTCGTACTTTTTATTGGAACTAGAACAAGATGTCACTTAATACGTTTTTTGTTTTGGTACATTAGTCACATTTAATATTAAATACAATTATAACGAGATTTTGGGGGGCTAGTATTTTAGTTGATTGCCAAGTATATCATCATATATCGAACATTAAACATAAACCAAACTTTTTTAAGAAAATCGATTTGTAATTTTATCAAGCAATCCTATTTTGAAATAAATGATAGTATATTAATTCTCATTCTAAGGGTTTAATCAGTGGAACCCAACCAAAGAGTGTAAGGCACAATGAGGTACTTAAGTTCTAGGAGGAGGGCCCGTTTTTGTCTTCTTGGGTGCCTTAACTCTTTGTTTTAGAGCACTTAAATAGCCTCAATCTATCATTTACTCTCACAACATGTTTGGTGAGTGGTCATAAATTGTGAGAATGATAATGAGTTTGTATATGATTTTCCAAAGAAATTCTGCCAGAAAAATGTGCTTTTAGTCTTTTTTTTGTTTTTTTAACAAATTTTCATTACCACATAATACCACCTCTAAAATGCTTTATTAATGGATTGTATAGAATTTTGTGAAGGAAATGAGGTATTTGGGAAATGACAAGCATTAGCATAGATATTGACATGAAATCTTTTTCTTACTTATAAAATCATTAATATTATCACCAATTATTACCAATAACCAAACGAGTTGTCATTGTTTTCAAAATTTACCATGTAACCATATGCATTAGATTGAGCATGGAAAAACCTTAAAAGGTCCCCTACTCCCATGGTCACAATACTGACTATGACTATTGTATGTAGTTTATAAAACACAACAATGCCATAAAGGATAAAATTGCTTGTTTCGCTACAACGATTGATCTATTGATGTTGATTTCTTAAGAATTAAGTTAGGAATAAACATCACTTTCTTTTCTATAACTCCTAACACCATAGCACAAACACAAGCAACCTATTTGACCAACAAACCTTATCTTTCTATCTCTCAATTGGCCTTCCCCTTTATTTTTGGGTGCCGGTGCATTTGGATAACATCTTAAACTAGCCAAACATTAACAGTAGTGAAAGGTAATACACGCACGAAAACTTCTAATTAAGTCTTGTATTAAGGGTTAAAAACAAGTAAGATTAACAAGTCTTGTATTCAACAAGTGTATTTGTATGTGACAGGTTTTAGCACTGTGATGTCCGTGAACATTATTATTGCCATCCTTTTCACATAAAAGTCTCCCTTTAACGGAGTCCATTCATTTCACAATATGAGAACATTTGTGAATAAAATAAGCCCAATGTTCACAAATATGAGTAAATTTGCAATTCTGTATATGCAAGTTTTTTGCAAACTAAAACCTGTTCTAAGTGTTTGTGAAACAAAGAATGTTAACTTTTAAGGACAAATAGTTGCACTTTTGCCCATCAAGTAATTCAACTGATTTTGATGCAAGATCCTTTGATCAATGTAAAGAGGAACTTCAGTTCCATTGCTAACAAGCAGCAAGCGAGGCACAGAATAATTATCACATAGTATTACAGTTCTTTTGCTGAATCAACATGAACATGGGCACACTAGTATACAACATTAATCCAAGCCTAACTAAAAAAAAATCTCTTTTCTAGGAGCTTTTTATCAATGAGTATCAGCAAGTAGCGGCAATAGCCCCGAGGAGGGAGGTAATGAAACGCATCTGTGTTTCTTTATCGATCTTAGAGAAAAGGGGAACATGCACAAAAAGAGATTTGTGGCCTCTAGCTTCTGCAAACCGGAGAGAGTGATAGTACACGTAATTACATACAAAACAACCAGCATCATCTGAGTTCATTACGTTGAAGCCTTTCTTCTTTAGGAAACTAAGAATAGAATCCGCTGAGCATGTAGTCTTCATAGTAGTCATCATCCAATGCAAGGAAACAAATAAGACGTGTTAGGGGAAAGTTTTCATGCAACTTAAACTTTGATATAAATGGATTGTGTCAATCATATATCCTACGATATCGTACTATCTACCTTAGATAGTTAGCAAGTGGTACTTAAAGCATGTCTACATCATTTGCGTTTTGTGACTCTCTCTACAACTAAATAAAAAGTATAAATATCCAACAATATCCAATGTTGCTCAGCCCAGCATTTCTGTCCGCCCTGAGGACTGATCCATAGTACATGATGCATGGATTGACCATCTATACACAAGGGCACAAAGGCCACTATTTCTGAACTATGAAAAAAGGGCCTAAATTTAAGAGATCGTAAGGAGCCCCATTTATATTACCTGAACCCAAGGTTTTCATGTACCCACATACCATGTTCCCCTCCTGCAGTCCTCTGTGATTCAAAGGGTGATCACAAGGCAAGGTCAAGTTCTAGTAATAGATCAATACTTAAAAGTATCTTCATCTTTCACATTGCAACAGTAATTTTTAATAATAAACCTGATAAACAAGCTTTGAAGCTTTCACATAGCAATATGAAATCAAACTGCCTAGGATGAAAAAAAGTTAGCTCATCTTTTTCCAGCTAATCCTTAAAACAACCTTTTTCTTTCTAATGGCATATAACATGAACCACGAGGAAATATGAACACATATCAAAACCAGATTACCACATTAGAAAAATAAAATAAAAATGTGACAAAGCATATTAATATATTAATATTTTGTTTGGATTGAAGGAAATGGAGGGAAAAGAAGGGAAGGAAAATGGAGGGATGGATTATCTTTCATTTGGATAACAAATAAAGAAGGAAGGAATTGGAGGGGAGAGAAATGGAAGGATTAAATTGTAAGAAATTAATCTCTCCAACAATGGAGAGATTTAGAAGGAAAACTCATCTTTCTTCCCTCCCCTTCCTTTCTCTTCCCTCCCCCTTACCTCCCTCCCCTTCTTTTCTTTCCCATTTCTTTATCCAAACACGCCGTAAATGTTGGCAATTACCTGTCTCGTATTAGATATTTCTCCATCTTCAGGGACTATCGGTACTTGCTGAAAAGAAGAAAGGATAATGATTTATAACTTGAATATAAACAAAGCTACATAGCTTATAACAGAAGAGGGGTGAGGGAGGAGAAGGGAGGGGGAAAGAAAAAAAAAGTCTTATCAACCTGTGGTTGCCACCCGAGCTCATCAGGACAGCGAAATGTTGCTTCATTGAATGCTTGACATTCAAGTGCAAACTTTTGGGCACCACTATTCACTCCCAAATGAACCTGGAGACAGCAGCCAATAAGTCAATGACATGATATATCCAAGTCAATACAGGGATAGTGTGTTCAAAAACAGGGGACTAATAAGCAAACCACCATTGAAAAGAATTCACTACCATAATAACAGGCCATTCGCGCTGAAGTGATTATAGGAATTACACGAACAAGTACCTATTTACTTTACATTGTCACAAAACTTCTGATGACAAGTTTGTGACCCAGGAAGCAGGACATGATGCCAAACTAAGACAGAGGAACAGGTGATTCTCACTAACATTAGGGATGAGTTGACAATTTTGTTTCAAAACTTGTATTATAACGGCATCATGAGTGAGATTCCATAATTTATTGCTATTATGGCCTTTCTACAACAACTTGACGAGTAATTTTCCTTCATCCCACTTTGAAAAATAAAGCAAGTCACAAATATCAGGGTAGACAATACTTTTTGGATGGAATAAAAAAAATTCTAGTCACTCATTGTCTCCATTTCTTGGGTTGCTATAATTTTTTTTTTGTATGTGAAAAAGACAAAATAACTTTAATAAGCACGAAGATATCATCCTCACAACACAATTAGACAATCGAATGTCAGCAACAACATACTCATGAATGTCATGATATACCAATTACAGAATCCAAAATTTTGGCTTTGCTTCTGTTATTCAATGTAGCTGCATAAATTATACTGCAAAGTTTATGAGGTAACCCAATATAGCTGCATAGAAAGTTTATGCAAATGAAGACTCACCCACACAACTGATTCATTGTCCGGATTTGAGGCACCTTTCTCAAACAATTCATAAAGTGCTGGTCTCGCCCCCTCGCCAGCTGTCTCAAGTATCGTGCAACTTGCAAGTTGCACCCCTGTCGGAAGGCCATTTTTCGAGACATACTCATTCAAATTACTGACAATGGTTTCCGTCGGATTCTCTGTCACTCCTTGAAATTTCTTGAAACCAGTAACATGAAATGTGATATTCTTAGGTCCTTCGGATCCCATGTCCACCTTGCGAGCACAGCAAAAATTCCCAATTCTTAATCGAGTATGAAGTTCCCAGAAAACCTACAGGAGAAATCTTAAAGAAGCAAAGTTCTATAAGATTAATAATAATGAGAAACCAATGAAAACACACTTGGTGAACATAGTAAACAAGCATGCTTTAGCTAATACAGGTGACCTTGTCAAAATCAGGGTAAAGACTGAACAAATTGGTACTGTTTCACACTCTCTTCAACCTATTTGACAGTCATAATATTGACTCTCACGGCCACACTATTCTAATCTTAATCACTTTACTCTCCTACACAACTCAGAGCTTAATAAACATTATTCAGGAGGATTCATATGTAGTAAGCAAATGAGCCTGATTTAATGTTGTGATCTGGATGTCAAACAACTGAAGTTTACTAAAACAGACATGGAGGACACCATGTCATGAAAATCGCCGATAGGAAACCAGATTGAACGCACAAAAGGAACTTGGTTGTTCCAATTTGCTATAATAACAAGCTAAGTTAATCAATCAATCCTTGCACTCGACTTAAATGAAACACACGCCCCTTTATTTAATTTTCATTCCCTCCTTAGCAAAATTGTAATAATATCAAGTATCAACCACCACCATAATAATCAGAAGCTAATCATTTTTCTCATACATATTATAGCAATCACAGCAATATTATACTAGTCCATTCAACCACAAATTAAGACTAATACAACAAGCACTTGAAATAATATTGTAGCATCAATAACTCAATTCAGTACAGCCTCAATAGCGAAAAGCCGAAAAGAGCAGCATGCAAGGTGAAGGGAACACATCCTTAGAACTGTACAGATAACTATACTCAATTACTCATAAACAATGAACATCATCTCGAAACTCGGAAATTCTACCAACCTGATCCATATCATACATCAACCTGATCCACATCATACAAGAGCTTATATGGATCCGGCAAATAACATGGCACATCCGGCAAACTCATATCTTACCCTACATAAAGTACAAATTGCAATGATTTTACCATAATTGTAAAGCAAAGATCTTAAAAAAAAAAAAAAAAAAAACACATCAAGATATAAATCAAACCCAGGAACAAATTCATATTACACAACATACCAATCATACTTCACAATATACCAATCATACTTTAGGCAATAGCAGAAGATTATCTAAACAAAAGCACCCACAAAAATACAAAATCATACTTCAAAAAACAAAATCCCAATAAAATGATCAATAATTCAGACTATATCAAACCATTAAAATGAAAAATTCTACGCAATTCACTCTCATTAACATCGAAATAGTTGTACATAATAAAAATTATAATTGACATATCATCTCGATTAAATTTACAAACTTTCTCAAAAAACAAGAAGCTGAAAATTGAAAAATAATAAAACGGTATAATTATTCTTACAAGATTAAAGTTTGAGTAATAATTGAAAATTTCTTGATTCTGACAATTCCAGCCCCTACAAACTTTTCTGTTGGAATGAAGAATCGAATTAATAAAATTTGAAGGTCGAAAGGCCTTATCGGATTTTTATGGTTTTATAAAATTCGCAGTTTAGACCACTATCAGCAGTGAGGAAAAAAAAAAACCTCTCAATCTCTCTCTACCCACTTTCTCACTCCTCCCATACAATTTCTCTCATCAAATGTTTTTTTCACTACATCAATGGGGAGAAAAAAAAACCTCTCATCACTTTTTCCTCCACTATTTACTATACCCCACCATAATACACATCATCTTTTTATTTTATCTTTATTTTGAAATAATGTTTATACTACATATTTAATTTTCCAATACAATTAAAATATGTGAAAATAATTTATTTTTTAATTACGTTTAAAAATAATTTAATAAAAATGTATAATTTAATAACAATTTATAAGTTTTATATTTACTTTTCAATTACGTTTAAAAATAATAAAATAAAAAATTATAATTTTTATATTTATTTTTCAATTACGTTTCAATTATAACTTAATAAGATTGTTATTTATTTGTCAATTACGTTTTAATTATAATTAATAATATTTTTTTTATTTTTCAATTACGTTTTATTTATAATTTAACATTTGAATACCAATAAAACTACTACTTTTTTTAAATTAACACTACTACTACTACTAGTAATAATAATAATTATTATAATAATAATAAAAATAATAATAATAATAATAATAATAATAATAATACTAAATAATAACTGAGGGTTTTTTTTTTACGAATAATAATAATAATAAAAATGATGAAAATAACTCAAAGAAATTGGGAAAAGAAGGAAATTTGTAGTATTTATGGGTTTTTTGAAAGTATATCAAAATATATCAAAATGCATGTCTATTTATAGAGAAAAAAAAAATCTATCCGTTGGTGAATTTTGTTTTTTTTTTTTATAATTACAACGGTTATATTTACCTTACAAAAATATAACCGTTGTAATAAAAGCAAAAAAATCTGATTGGTTGGAAGGACAAAGCCTGACGCGTGTCGCATCCCCATTGGCTGGGTCTGACGCGCGTCAGGCCAGCTGCCCCCTTATTTTTTTTTCCCTTTTCGCCCCTCAAAACGGCGTCGTTTCGCCCTTCTTTAAGGCAAAACGACGTCGTTTTGCAAGCCAGAAAGGAAAAAAAAAAGGGAAAGCAGCGTGTACATGTGGGGCCCACCGGTTACTGTTCACGAGTATTTCCCCTCAACTCTTGTGCGTTTTCCATAGCTCTCAACGGTGAGGGTTTTTTCCCTCACTAACGTAATGCTCGGGTATTTTTTTTACACCTTTATTTTTACTCGTGAGGGTTTTTTTTCTCACTGCCGGGAGTGCTCTTATGAGTAGGAGACCCCTCAATTTATCAAATTTTGCGGGAGTTGCCCTCATGCTTAAGTAGACCGGCGCACCACTAGTACTCCCCCCGTTTCATTGAAAATTATATAGTGCACTACGGTGTACCATACTTATGGTACATCTGATGTTAAATGACGTGTTTTTAACATTTTATTTGCAAGCTGTTAATTTGTTATTTAAAAGGAAAAGGAAAAAAAAATAAATAAATAAATAGACAATCTCTTCCACAATTCATGGGATTTCAACTTGATATTCTCCATTTTTACATAACTTCCAAAATTAAATTTCACCATATTTCAATTTCGAATTAAGAGAAAACAAAGTTTATAGGGAATTTTGTAAAGAGAGAAATACTGAGCAAAATAATGTCGTACCAATCAGAATCACGCCTTGATTTTAATTCTTTATTTGTTGATAATGCTCAAGATAATAATGATATTGACAAGGGTGATGAATATGAGGACATTGTAGGAGAAGGTAATTTAATTTTATTTGTTATGAATTTAATTTCAGAATTTTGCTTATTAGGTTGATTATATTTCGTTATTATTTTGCACGATTATGGTATAAATACCATTGTGTTTTTTTTTCCCATTGATATTTATGAATTTGAGATATACAAAGGTTGATGATGTTGTTCTTTATATTTTTTTTTTTCAAAGGTTGAAGATGATGTTCTTTATATAAATATATATATATATATATATATATATATATATATATATATATATATATATATATATATATTTTCAAGGTTGAAGATGATGTTCTTTATAAAGTGTACTTATGTTCATTGTTATAATTATTGAACAATCACATGAATGTTCTTTATTTTTATCCCTTATGTTCTTTGATTGGATGTTCTTTGATTTATCATGTTTGTACTTTGATTTATCCGGTATGTTCTTTGAATTATTATAACATTAATTTTAAATACTATATCAATTATTAATTCTATATTTTTTAAAATATTAATTATTATTAACTATGTATTTTTTTTAAAATCAGAATCATGAAGGTTGATGACGATATTCTTTTGAGATCTCCTCAATTGATGATTGTTTTTCAGATCTAAAGAACATCCGTAATTTTACTAAAGAATATGATAATATTATGTAATGAACATAACTTATATATATATTATACCTACCACGATCCAAAGACAAAATTCAAAGAACATTTCACAATAAGCAATAAATATTATATGACAATAGAAGTACATTGCAATTACAATCAAGGAACATGGACATTTAAAATAATCTATCAAAAGATCTAATATAATAAAAATCATTATATGATATAATTATGGACATAAGGAAAGAATATAGTTTTAAAAATTAATTGTACATTACAAACAACTATAAAGTACATCATGTTTTCTAATAAAGAACATTATTAAATCACATATAGAACATCACAAGAAATATAAACCGAACCTACAATGACTATTATAACTATATATATATATATATATATATATATGAAAATTTGGACGTAATAAATAATTTGAAAGCTGAAATTTTGAAAATGAAATTTAAAATTTTGAATTTTGAAATTTAAAAACAAAATCTTAAATTAATTTTGGGAGAAATAAATTTAGAGAATAAAAAAAATATGAGAAACTGCATTTTTGGAGAGAGATCGAAACTGATTTTGGAAAATGATAATTTTTGAAAATATTTTTATCCGTTAATGTGAGTCATGGGTAGATCTTTTCCCGTAATTAAATATTTATGCTGAGAAAACCTCGCGTTCTTCTTTTCTAACTTGATGTTCTTTAGAATATGCATGTTTATTATTTACTAACATGAATACATGATGTTCTTTCCGCTTTTTTCAAGCTTATTTGGTGCCTGCGTTTTATGAAAAAGAGGATGTCGTTTTTACCCGAGTGTATCATGCGCATGGTACACCCAGGTGTACAGATCATGAATTACCATTTCATAATGTTTTTATTTACGTAAATCGATGCAACCTTTTGTTAATCTTTGATCGCAAATATCTTTAATCTCACATTAGGGAAAATTTTAAAAGTTAGATATTAATATTGTACTCACCAAGACTCAAACTAGACTCCATATGACTATATTTATTCTTATAAATTGAGAGAACTTTAGAAGATTATCTCTTATTTTTAAAAGTCAAAATATTTCAAATGAGAAAATTGTGAAACGGAAGAAGTAAAAAGTTTAGAGTACTTTATTCGTTTCAAAATGATTTACATTCTTTTTTTTTTTTTTGAGTGTTTCAAAATAATTTATTCACTTTTTATTTTAATTCCACACATATCTCTTTATTTTTTTCATATTATTCTCATTATAATTTTAATAAATGGTCTTAATCCAAAGCTTTATGGTACCAACCAAAAGATAGATGGTCCCAAATTCCCAATGTATTTTAATTGTCCCAATGTAATTTTTTTCAAAAAAAAAAAAAGGTTCCAAATTCCAATGGATTTATTCTAAGAATTTTCCCTTTTTGTAATTTAAACAAAAGATTCCAAATGATTTGAACGTATTGAACGGAGGGAGTAAATAAAGTGTGAATGATGTCATTTCATAGTATCGAACTGCTTTAACGTGATGATCCCACGTTTAGCAATTTTACATACTCGACAAAGTCTGAACCGGGCCCTCCGATGAAGGGTGGTCTTATATTAGCCTATATAGCACAATCACATAAGATTGATCATTTTAAACTTTATACGGTCATAAATGTATGTTGGAAATCATGAAAAAATTAAAACATCCAAATCAAGCATAAAGTAAATAACTAAAATAGTCATATTCTTAACATACATGAGGGCAATTTCAGACTTCTGTTTATTTCATAGTTATTTATTTATTTGTTGTGTTCGGTGAAGGTAAGAGGTTAACAATTACTCATTGCACCCTAAACACCTCTGTTTTCTGTTGTACTCTAATAAAATCATATCCATCTTATGATTTATCACAATACGTAATATATATAAATTTATTCACGTGGGTCTTGTTTAAAATTTTATATGAACGATAAAAAATATTAAATAAAGTCCACGGGATATAGTGAAAAGGCATTTATTGTTGTTATCTTTAAAAAATCTATCCACTTTATGTGTTGTATCTACAAAATAAGAATTTTCTGGCAATTACCACCAACCATTTTTCTCGTTTTACTAACAATGACTAAGATCATCCACAATGGCTAGCTACATGCCTTTGTAGCTTTGGGTTACCACATCATTATTACTCAAACTACATCATTTAAGCTACAATGTCCACAATAAGAGCATCCACAATGGTAGTATAAAAGGACTTGCTTGCAATTTATAAATAGTTGGAGCTACATGCTCACCATTGTAGAGCTACATGCTCACCTTGTAGCTCCATGGAGCTACAAGGTTTTGCTCCACCCAATACACTTACATTGATTTGTTTAATATTTGTATGTATTTGCTTTATGTTTATTTTTTTATTTTTGGTTTATTATTATTATTCCCAATTACAAAAATAAATAGCTAACCATTGTGAAGGTTATAGCTTAGATGTTGTAGCTTATTTTAACAAAAAAAATAATGATGTGGCAATTGCTAGCTACAAACACATGTAGCTAACTATTGTAGATACTCTAACAATCTACTTCCTTTTGTAATATTAGTATGTCCCACATGGTCACATGTTATTTAATTAATACATAAAATGTAACGAACAAATCAATTTATATGCCTTGGGTGGAGTGAAACTACATAGCTTTGTAGAGCTATATAGTTTCACACCAAAGCTAAAAGCTTTGTAGCTCCACAATGGCTAGCTTATAGCTCCAAGTATTTAAAAATTGCAAGCAAGTCCTTATGCACAACCATTATAGATGCTCTTACAAATTTTATTCTTTTTTATGTATTTCACCACCCTCATTTTATAAAAACACAAAAAAATTCTCACTAGATTAATCAACCATTCAAGTGTGACATCATGGTAAGCCCCATAAACAACCTTCCCTTCATTTTTCCTTATTTTCCTTCCTTCGTCACTCAATTTTCCCTTCTATGTTTTTTCACTTCAACTCTCTTTCTTCTTTAATTCTCATTAGCTAGTGATGCTCACCCACAAAAATTCTTCCACGAAATTATTAATTCTCATTAGATTCTTCACTAGTCCTCTTTCCTTTTCAAAAAATAAAATTTGAAATTTCCACAACCCCTACTTCTAGTATATGGATCATAGAATTTGCATCTTGAATTCTCCCTAATCTATGAAGTGGGCAGAAAAACCCGGTACCCACACTTATAGATCTTGCACCTAGATATTAGTATCTTGCAAAATACCAAAAAACAATAATGAAATTGCAACTTTAATTTTGTTCAACATTAGGTAAAATTCACAAAATATGAATTAATTTCGCTCAATACTATCACCATAATCAAATCCCCAAATTGATAACAAAATCCTAATTTCAATTCGAAAAACCCCCAATTAAGTTGTTAAAAATATTAACTATTTATACACACCTCTCTCCATGGTTGCATTGTATTATTGATGCAAGAACGATGAATAATGAAATCCTAACTTTAGTTTTCAATAAATTGAATTGAGTTTTTGCCCAAAATTAGAGTGGAAATGAAGAAGACAGAAGAAATATCGAAAGACGAAGAAAAGGAGGAAAATATTAAAGAAAGATTGTTTTATGGGGCCCACCATGATGTCACACACATGAGTGGTTGGTTAATCTAGTGGGAACGTTTAGCTGGAGTTAGGAGTGTTTCCAAAATAAATTGATTCATACTAATCAGCTAATGTGAACTACGCCCTCCGTCCCCTAATTTTTTCCCCATTGCAAAAATATGGGTCAAACTTTTAAAACTTTGACCATAAATTCTCGTTAATCTATAAGTTATAATATATTCATGTGGGATTTTGTTAGAATCGTCTCATTGTAAAGTTTATTAAAATCAATTTTTTATAATTTTTACGCGTATAAAAATGAAGATATATACGTTTGAAAACGTGTCTTGAAAATCGTGAAAAGTCAAATGAAGCAAAAAATAAGGGACAGAGGGAGTGCTATTTAGCAAATTAGATGATTGGTTTTGTTAAATCCTCTAATAATGCTTAATAAGCTTTTTTGGCTCAAAACATAGATATAACCAAACACAACCTTAGTGTTTTAATAATAAAATGTAGGTGCTAAGATACTATATATATATATATATATATATATATATATATATATATATATATATATATATATTTCCTCCGTTCCTTTTTAGATGACACAGTTTGACTTTTACACTATTCACAAACAACACTTTGACTAACTTTTGTAATTTGTAGCTATGATAAAACATAATCATGTGAGATCTTGTTTGAATCGTCTTAATGTATATTTTATTAATATCCACTTTTTATAATTTTACAATGTTGATATTGGGAGATATAACTTGTGAAAATTGTGCGTTGGCAAACGTGATAAAAGAAACGTGTCATTTAATTAGGAACGGAGGAAGTATATATATAAAATTGTACTCACTCCGTTTTTTTAAAGTGTTACAGTCACCAAATGTGGTCTTACATTCATTACTTTATTTTAATAAACTCAACCCCACTATCTTTCTTTTACAATTTTTTAATACTATCCCGCTTACTTCTTATTTATTTAAGTCAATTAAATTGCTTAAAACAATGTGTCGATCAAAGTAAACACTTAAAAAACGGAAGAAGTAGGTGGTTATTAATCAAAGTATCACAACCGGGAAAGGAGGTCTTGATCAAATCAGTGGCCCAAAGTAATCTCGACTTATATGATGAGTAATTTTAGGATTCCGGATGAAATTATTAATGACATTCATAGGTTACTAGCTCGATTGTGGGGTTCTATTACATTGGCAAAAATGGGAGGACTTATGCAAGACGAAAAATCAAGGGGGGATGGGATTTTGTGATTTACGGGTTTTCAACCAAGCTTTGTTGGTGAAACGATGTTGGAGACTTCATCGCAACCAAGGTTCACTCCTACACTCTATATTGAAAGCTAAATATTTTTAAAATTGCGATGTGTTGGAGGCAAACCGGGGTTATGACCCTAGTTACACTTGGAGAAGCATGTGGGGCGCCAAATTTCTTCTCCTTGACGGGTTAAAATGAAGGGTTGGGAATGGCTGCGATATTTCAGTTTAGGACAATGCTTGGTTGCGAGGTAACTCTGCTATAAGCGTGCCTTCTCCGCTGCCTCATAGTAATTTGACTTTGAGAGTGGTAGCTTTAATTGATCATGTTAGTCGGTCTAGGCGTGTGGATGTGATTCAAGAGAATTTTAGTGCTGCTGATCAGGCCTTGATCCTTCTTTTTCCTTTATCTGACCGCTCCCTTAGAGACGTGATGTATTGATGGCCATCTAAAAATGGGGAATTTAATGTACGTTCAGCTTATTGGCTTGGTAAGCATGGCTTGTCAATGGCACAATCGGCTGATGATGTGTGGAAAATAATATGGAATATGAAAGGACCTCCCAAGCTTGCCCATTTCCTTTGGAAGGCGTGTAAGGGATTCCTGGCGATACGAGAAAGACTCCATTATCGTCATATGCTTAAGGATAAGACTTGTTTGATTTGTGGGAATGGGGATGAGTCTATTATAAATGCTACATTTGAGTGTAAGGCGGCTGTTGAGATATGGGCAGCTAGCAGTTATAACTCTATTGTTTCACATACTCCTTCTCTGAATTTTGGGAATCGATTGGTGTGGCTAGTGTCGAAGGTCTCGAGTGAGGAGTTGAGATCAATGGCCACTCGAATATGGGCGGCTTGGTGGTGTCAGAACAAGTTTGTCTTTGAGCAAAAGAGTGTGTGTGCTATGAGTGTTGTAGCTAGAATTTTTATGGGGCAGAGTTCGCATAACTTGCCCTTAGTGAGTGCGTGGCAATATTCGAATGTGGGTGTCATTAAAATCAACTGTGATGCCTATGTTGGGAGTGTGACTAGTGACGATGGGGGCAGGATAGTAGCTGCAGCAGTTCGCCAGGAGAAGGTGGGCTGGCCTTCTGATCTAGCTGAAGCTACTGCTTGCAAGTTCGGGCTCCAAGTGGCGTTTAGGCTGGGGTACTCAAATGTGCAATTGGAGAGCGATGCATCCAAAATTGTTCAAGGAATTAGGAGGAAGGCATGGGTTTTAATCCTTTGTATATGCTGATTGATGATATTTGTTCTCTCTCTCAATTTTTTGTTGGTTTCTTGGTGTCTCATGTAAAGCGTGCGGGTAATACTTTGGCTCACATGTAGCACGGTGGGACTCGAGAGGTTGTAATGAATTTATTTGCCTAGGTCCTTTCCCCCAAAGTCTTTTAACTTTGGCGGAAATTGACCTCTGTTTTGATATCCTGCAGGAGTTTGAAAAAAAATTGCTTAAAACAATGTGACGATCAAAGTATAACACTTTAAAAAACGGAAGAAGTAGGTGGTTATTAATTAAACGAGAAGAGTAGTTGGTGTTTATTGCTCCAAAATCCCCAAAATAAAGAAATAATTCAACATGCATACGCAACCTATATAAACACAATCACGTGAGATTCATTTTAAATTTATATGAACGGTCAGAAACGTACGCTAAAAATTGTGAAGAGGCATCTGAAGCAAACATAAAGCACATGACTAAGATAATAATATTTGAGACATATATGAGGGCAATTTCATGTTATGGTTTATTTCATACTCACTTTCTTTTCTTTTATTTGCAACACTATCCTTTAGACACGCTTTTTAGGAGCTGATTAGATTGGGTAAATAAACGATTTCTATCAAAATAATTTTGACACCAAGAATGGAGAAGGGTTAGATATTACATGTATAAATTATTTTGATTACTTTTGTTCGCTTTAATTACATAATTACTTCCTCAAAGTGTGTATTGAAAGTGCGTTGCAAATAAAATAAACGCATGTGGAAACTTTAACTATTCATTATGTTCAATGAAGGTAAGAGGTAACAATGACCTATAGCACTCTAAAAAATCTACCGCAATCTCAACAAATATGCTCAACACCTCAGCTCATGTTGTCCAATCTAATATAATCATACTCATCTTATCTGTCATATTTATAATTTTAAAAAGGTAAAATTGGTCACAACAGCACCAACTATTACAAAGGTGCGTGTAGCAACACAACCTTTCGATGGTGCATTCTACATCACAAACTATGCACTTGGGTGCACATAACAACATAAATGATACCGAAAAACTAAGATTTTGCCGGAAAACTGATGATTTAATATGTTTTTTTTTTTAATTTTTTTTATTCTCATGATATTAATTTATTACACTATCACTCCATTTACCTTTTTCCTGCATATTCGTATCACTCTCAACCTCCACCATTACTGTGATTCCTGTTTAAAGTTTACAGAGTGCTTCTTTGATAATTGTGGGTTTAAGGACGACGAATGGTAATCTCTCACCGAATTTTAAGATACAAAAGTTACTTTGTGATACCAAGCCCCCAAAAATATTGCAAACATAATTGTGCTTAATTAATTGCTTTCCTGTTTATTTACTCTTCAAATTTCTATTTTCACTCTTCAACTTAAGTTCAAGGATTTGTTTTGCCAAATCAGATTTCTATTTCACCTACTAATACTGCCTTCTCAGAGACCAAACCATCCATCCAATTAAAAAATTTGCAATTATCAACCTAAAAATAAGAATTTTCTTCTCAATTACCCACAATAAATCAAAACTCAATTACTCCCTACATTTCATATTAATTGCAACACTTTCCTTTTACATCTGTTTCATATTAATTGCAACACTTCTATATTTGGAAAGGACCCACCATTATTTTGTAATTTCCTCAACATGTTTTCTACTCCCAATGGACTTTTTCCTCAATGAGAATTCCAGTTTTTCGGTATCATTTATGTTGCTATGTGCATCAAAGTGCATAGTTTGTGATGCAGAATACACCCTCATCGAAAGGTTATGCTGCTACACGCACCTTTGTAATAGTTGGTGTTGTTGCGGCCAATTTGTCCTTTAAAAAATTATCATAACTACGTAATATATACAAATACATTCACATGAATTTCATTTGAAATATTATATAAATGGTAAAAAAAAAGGGCACATGATATTGTGAAAATGGCACTCATTGCGTAATAAAGAAATATAAATCCTATCCACTTTATCTGTCAAATCTACAAAATAATCAACTTACCTTGCAGCTTATATACACACTATCACATGAGATTCATTTAAATTTTATACGAAGGATCAGAAACGTATATGTGAAGACTGTGAAAAAGCAAACTGAATGAATAAGATAATGCAGAATACTTCCTTAAATTTTAATAAATTACTTGTGTTACCCCCAGTGGCGGACTGGGCCTTGTGCCTGGTGGGTCAAATGACTCACCAGGGCCCAAAAAAATTTTAAGTTTTTTTTTAAAAAATAAAAAAATAAAACCGACACTTCCTCAAGCCCTAGCCCACTGCCTCCTCAGCTGCTCTTCCCTCTTCGCCTCTTGACTTCCTCTTCGCTTCATCTTCACCAGACTGCCTCCACCCAGCCAGTCAGCCACCCTCCAGTCGCCTGCTCTGCCTCTGCTGCTTGCCTGCTTCAGTGCAAGGCTGGAAATGGAGCAGGAGAAGGTCTCACTTACCTCTTATTTCTCTTATCTTTATGCTTTTAATTACTGCTACTGTTCTTTTCAACGAGTTCAGAATTCACGAGTATCAACCCCAAGATCATAACCCTCATCTTCAAAATACCCATAATTCATCTCCAGGTTTGTTGTGTATAATCACTAATTTTCTTCAATTTCTTGCTTTTTTAGTGGTGAATTTTTGTGGGTTTGTTGAAATTCTGTGTTTTGAGTGATGGGTTTGTTGAATTTGTTAAAATGGTGGCTGAATTTTGGTGGGTTTCTTGTGTTTTGTAGTGTTGGATAACTTGTGTTTGTGTTTATGTTTTGCCCTAAAGGTGAATTTTTCTGAATTGGGTGTTGCAGTTGCGTTGGACGGATTCACTACATGTAGCTCTACTGTAGAGTACAATGGAGGAGAAGTGGGGTGGTTGTATTTTGTACTGTTTGAATATTTGGATGTATTTTTTAGTACTATTATTTGGTTGTTTGGTAAAAAAATTTTTTTACATATTTGATTATCGATTGTGACTCACCAGTCGGAAAATCCTGGGTCCGCCACTGGTTACCCCATTATTTTTTTTCTAATGACTTTTAATTTTCTCAACACACCCCACTTACACAATATTAATTACATTCATTGCTCCTTTCTAACACTATGTGTTAGTGAAAATCATGCATTTTTTTTTCCAAAAAAAGAGAGAGATCATTCTAGACATAAATAAGGTAATTTCAGAAATTTTCTATTTTAGGTATTATGAAATTGACAATACTATCCCTCAAAAAAAGAGTTTTCAAAACTCGACTATGTGAATTGACCAAAATGCCCCTCTAAAGTCTAACCCATGTCCATATATTTGATCTTTCCCTCCTTCCCCCTCTACATTGTTGTATTTAGGCCATATTGGCGCATCAGAAACAGTGTCCCTTGACTACCTTCCTCCACTTCTTCTCTACTCTTTTGGTGCTTACAATCTGCTGTTTATTTTGCTCACATTTCTCTGCTTTCTCTCTCCTTTTTTCTGACGTTTTTCTCTGCCAACTTTTTCTCTTCATTTGCCTTTTTCTCTTCAAGAATTTCCCTCACCATAATCATACTAAACCCATAATCAATTTCAGGTATTCTTCTCTTTTCTCTGCATTTGCCCTTTTTCATTTCATTCTTACACCATGAGATTATACGTTTGATTTTTTGTTTTATTTTTGAAATTTGTAAAACGCCAACTCTGATAACTACCATGTTTCGTTTGATTTTTTATTTTTAATTTTTGTTTGATGGGTTTGTTGAAGTTTCTGTTTGATGGAATGGTGAAAATTCGAAGTTTCAGATATGGGGTTTTTCCCCTCGATTTTTGGGTTGAAGTTTATGTCCTCGTATTTTCCTTGTTTTTTAGAACTCTTTGGTGATTTTTGGGTTGAATTATGAGATTTCTCTTAAACCCTTCAACCTTTTCTGTGCTGGGGTTTAAAGGGTTGAAGTATTTATTTATTTATTTGGTTAATTGTCTCCCATTTCATGAAACGCCAATGATCATGATATATTTTTTATGATTTTTTGAGGTGTTTTTTTTCGAAATGTTTGTGAAAGAAGGGTAAAAATCAGTATTTTTATATTTTGCCGTCTCTTGAAATTTCCAGTTGTATTTCTGTGTTGGAGCATATAATGCTGCATAAACCCTTGGCCTTTAACACTATTTTGGTGTAATTTTGTTTTATTTTTGGGGAAATATGCTTCATGTTTTGTATCTTCAATCTTAAAATGCAACTTTTTTAAAAAAAAAATCTTTGGATTTGATTGTAATTCTTCTGTAAAATTTTGCATCTTCATGTTTTACGGGACATAATGTTTGTTACTTGTGCTATGCCTAGATTTGACCAAGATTCAAGTGTGAAATTTATGTGTAGTACATAGGATACTTGGTGAAATCCATAATATAGTAAGTGGGTTTGAACTTTATGGAACGGAGGTAGTAGATATTATTGGCGTTTTAATTATTTGCTAGTTAAATAATAAGCTATATTGATTTCATTGGAATTACCAAACTTGCTCTAATTGAGCCATAGAAGCATATATTAATAGATATTGTATCGTTATGTACTTGTGTTGATGGGCTATGTTTTGAACTTACTTTTGTTTTTCAGATGAGTATAATGAGTGCTCTTAACTTAATAATTTGTATGACTTTTCTACTGAAATTTTCTAATGTTTGGACTTACAGTTGATATGGAGCCTCGGAATTTGTACGAGAAGTCGGGCAAAGGGAAACAACTTATGAGATTTGTGCGTGTTCCTCCTCAAAATTACTATTTGCTTATTTGTTTGTTGGGTTTTCTTGCTGATGAGTTTTGTGAGACTTTGTTCCATGATAATTTTCCATGTTCTTTATTAATATGTTTGTATGCATCTTCAAGTTCCAATTTCGTGACAGTGGATTATGAACTTTAACAATTGTTTTTGTAGTCGCGCACTCACGCATCCTGTTCTTAGTATTTGGCAATACTTGGGATAAAAGAAGATTGACTTAAATGTGTTGGACTTTACTATTTGCTGATCATCAATCTTACCCAAACTAAATACATTGCTTAGACAATTATATTCTAGAAAAAGGTTGATCTACTATACTAATTGAGATTGATAGTTCTATTGCTCAACCTTTTTCTGTATCCTTATTTTTCTTTTGTGCTCTACTGCTCTTTTACTTTCTTTTTTTTTAATTAATTTTTTTTTTTTTTTTTTTTTTTTTTTTTTAATGTGCCTATGGTCTGTCCACACAATCTTCTTCAGAGCTTTATGTTTCAAATTCATGTTTTTATTTAAACAGACTAAGAAGGATATGTCTAACATTAGAAAATGGGGATTCCGTAGTTAATCATGTGTTCTTTTCTCAATATGTTATCCCCAGGATCCTGATATATACAGTCCAATAAACTATGAAGCTGATTTGGATACCGATGATGAGCTTGAATTGCAGTTTTTGCAGGCCACACTTGATGATAAAGCAAGTAGTTTACTTAGAACCTTTATTGGTAACTTGTTGCATTTTAAGCTAGACATAATGGGTTCATATTTTATCTTAGTTGAATTGTTTATATAATAATCTAAGTAAGAAGCAGTAAAGCGCGATAGCAATATATTTGTTAAAGAACACAATTCTAATGGATTTGGTTTGTAAAACTGGTACTAACTAATGTGTTTCTTGTCCTATGATGAAATATAAAGGACATAGCTTATGAGCAGGTTTCTCCTGTTGACTGCGTAGACAATGCCTCATCATCTGGTTCTTCCAGTTACAACTCCAAGAAAGTTGACCATTTTGTTTCGATGGGCTTTGAGGAGAAATTGGTGATCCGAGCAATCAAGGAAAACGGTGATGCATGCTCATTTTAATACTACTTTCATTTGCCCCCTTTTTGTATGGTTTTTTTTTTTTTTTTTTTTTTTTTTTTTTTTTTTTTTTTTTTTTTTTTCCTGGATGGGATGAATCCTCCATCCTTGTATTGCATGGTTTGACTGAAGCTTAATTTGCTATATAACCTTCAAGGTGAGGACAATGATGAAGCAATACTCAACAGTTTATTGACATACCCGGTAAGTTAAAATCCATTGATCATAGAATTTGATTATAAATGGCATTTGTGGTAATTGACAACAGTTCTGAAATTGGAATCACAGGTGCTATATTGCCTAAAGGTTGCTTTTAATGTTTGACAGTGCCTGTTTACTATGTTTAGAAGCTCGATTAGTTTGTCAGTATAATGCTATATACCTGAATAATGATTACAGGATTCATAGTCATAGAATAGCCATTGACTTGGTTATGGGATTCTTAAATGCAGGTTCTTGAAGACTCCCTTGGAGAAGATATTGGTTCTTCTTCCAAGCCGAAGTCACCCACTCATATAAATGAGGACTTTTTAGATGATTTTTCGGACTGTGATAGTTCTTGTGGAGAGGCAGAGGTATATAGTTGAACAGTTGTCTGGAAATCAGGAATCCATATAATTGTTTTGTGCTATTTGTAGTCCTACAATTTAGTTGTTATGTTTAAGATTGTTGCTCATAGTCTTTGTTAGCCCTTTGTGTATCCTCAAAAAGTAATAGTATCAATGCTTTTAAATTGCTCGTGTAATATGTCATAAGGTATATTGGGGCACTCAAACTGTAGCTTCTTGAGATGTGACCTCGGCCTTGTTCCATTTGAGCATCGCCGTTAAATAATTTTTTCAACCAACTTTTCTTTGCATGTTTGGTGGAAACTATAAAATGAAACTCATAGATGTCTTCAGTAATAGTTTTGTGAACTTGAATCTGGTTTCTTCAATTTGCTAATTTATAATAGTTCTGAATGTGTGAAATAACTTGATTCAGTGTTCAGACCAAAGAAAATTTTTCTTTCTACTAGGTCCAATCAACCAAAGGTTATTCTCCACAAGTTTATCTGTTTCATACTTTTCTTCCAAGCCCTAGTTTTGATAAGTAAAGCTATTAATTGTCGTGCCTTTTGATTTAAAGATTTGAAAGTTTGATAGTTGTTTTGTCTTGTAGGGAAAAGAAAGAGATGCTGATTACAAAAACAAGACCATATCAATAATGGTTGATATGGGTTACAACCTTGAGGATGTTCTAATTTCTGTAGAGAGATGTGGTTAGTGAACTATAGTATAATTTTGATGTCTTGTTTGAGATTGGTTTTTGGAATATATCTTATTTTTGCTTATTATCTTTTTACTGGATCATCACAATTAAAGATTACATTTTAACTAGGTTTTTTTTTTTTTTTTTTTTTTTTTTTGTCTTCATTTGATAGACACACTTTGACGTTTTAGGCAAATTTAATTGACCTTAAAAAATTGACCTTTTATATATAATTTTATAGTGTGGTAATAATCCCTTCGCAACATGAATTTCTTCTCACTTCCTGTTTAGGGTTGTTTCATAAAGTTCTTCCTACTTTTACTTTATTCCAATTTTGCCAACAAAAACAATTATTTAACCACAACTAGCACCACTTTTTGGTCACTTTTCTTATTACACTTGATCTTTTTTTTTATAAGTAATCATATGTACCTAATTACATTACTTTATTTATTTATATGTAATTACATTACGTTATTTCTACAGTAATTGGAAAAAAAAGAGCAGTAGTGGAATATTTATCTTATTATAGTTAGTGAGTAGTGATGCAACTTTCTTATCATTGTTAGTGGATTGGTCCAGGTGATGAAAATTTTTATATGCATGTGTGCACCCAAGGTTATTTTTTTCTCATTTGATACTTAATTGAGCAATAACCAGCAAAATGAACAAAAAATACCTTTGGGTGCACCTTGCACCTGAGTGTATATAAGAATCTCTCATGAAATGAAGTAAAAGAATTATGGATGAAAGGAAATTGTGATGACTCTATAGGGAAAGTGCATCAATCAAAGAGAGAAGGATGAAGTACTTAACATGTACATCATTTATGTCATTAATTAGAGCTACTTTTTATTCAGGTTATGATGCGTCCATTGAAGAATTGGCCGATTTTATCTGTGCTGCTGAAATGGCGAAAGTTGCTGATGCAACAGAATTCCCTGACCGTAGTCGAAAACTTGAGAAACCTCAGATGGACAGAAAAAGAAAATCTGTTCAGGTCATCCAGAGGCCTAAAAAGAAACCAGTACCAGAAAGAATGATGGAGGAAAGAAATTTCAAACAGATGATTGGGTTTGGGCTTCCAGGGTACCCTCCTGTTAGAACCAGTAGGATACTACCTGATGAGGCTTTAGGTCCCCCGTTCTTTTTTTATGAGAATGTGGCTTGTACTCCCAAGGGGGTTTGGGAACAAATCTCCCGGTTCCTGTACGACATTGAACCTGAGTTTGTGGACTCCATACATTTTTCTGCAGCTGCAAGGAAAAGAGGGTACATTCATAACCTTCCCATCACGAACCGACAGCCTTTACTTCCAATTCCACCAAAGACAATTCATGAAGCAATACCTGAAGCAAAGAAGTGGTGGCCTTCATGGGATAAGAGAACAAAGCTGAATTGTCTTTTAACTTGCATTGGAAGTGCTCAATTGACTGAGAGAATTAGGAAGAGGGTTGAATCTGGCGAACCTTCTGAAACTGATAAAAAGTTTGTTATCGAGCAATGCAAGAAATGGAACTTGGTGTGGGTTGGAAAGAACAGAGTGGCAGTCCTTGAACCTGAAGACATGGAGATGTTGCTTGGATTCCCAAGATTTTACACCAGAGGTGTTTGCCGGACTGACAGATACAAAACCCTGGGTAACTCCTTTCAGGTCAGCAAATTTTTTTCAGCTTCACAGTTTTATCAGTAAACTTATATTTTGAAGTACAGTTTCTCTCTCAAATTTTTTTTAAGCCTTCCATCGTAACTTAGGTGCTTAAAACTAAACTTTTAGGAACTTAGAATCAAACATATTCTTTACTTCTAGGGTAAATCAAGGTGCATTCATCATCTTCTAACTCTTGAATATGGGCCCTACAGGAATTATGTGTCATCTTTCTTGTATATGCTCAGGATAATACCTGTATTACTCTAGTAAAGCTTTGAGTATTTGTTTCAGATCGACACTGTTGCCTACCAACTCTCAGTTTTGAAACCGATGTATCCAAGTGGCATGAATGTTCTTTCGCTTTTCTCTGGCATTGGTGGAGCAGAAATTGCCCTCTACAGACTTGGGATCCCGTTGAAGAATGTTGTGTCAGTGGAGATTTCCAATGTGAGCCGGGAGATACTCAGGCAGTGGTGGTCAGAGACAGAGCAAGAGGGTAGACTTATCCATGTTGATGATGTTCAAACAATTGATAATGAAATGATGGATCAGTGGATTGAAGAGCTCAATGGATTTGATCTTGTGATAGGTGGAAGCCCGTGCAACAACTTGGCTGGTGGCAACCGGAGGACCAGAGATGGGCTCCAGGGAGAACACTCCTCTCTCTTCTATCATTACTACCGCATCCTCGAGTATGTCAGAATGTCAATGAAAAGAAGAGCAGCTTTCCTATAGTTAGCAGCTTAACAACCAGCTTATATCCCTGTCAAATTCACTGGCTTACAAATAGAAAATCTGAGAACTTTTGTAGGCTTAACAATACACCAAATTACAAACTTATTCAATTTATTATGCATGCTATTGCATTGGCATTATACAACAGAAACAGGTAAAATACTGCCTCGAGGACCTGATTCAATCTCAGTGTTTAGTTGATTTCTTAGAGATCTTACTCTAAATATTTGGAAACAATTTTTCTTGTATTATTACTTGAGACAGCAAGTCAGCAACAGAAACTGGTGATTATTTTGCATATTGATTCTGCAGCTGTTTACATTAATATTTTGTTCATGATTCTGTTGTATTCTAAAGGTTAGCCCAAAGTTTGCTCATGAACTTGATTGGAAAAACAAACGGTTAGCTAAGAGAGTAATTTTCAATTCAGCAACTTTTTGGTGCAGCAAGCCACACCGTGTGACAAGGGTTACCTTTTTGTTAGGGGTTACCCGAGTTATTCAGTCAGTAGTTATTTGAGTTACTCGGTCAGGGATTACTTGAGGGGTTCACTCGGTCAAGGGTTACTTGAGAGGTTACTCGATCAGGGGTTACTCAAGTTACTCTGTCAAGGGTTACACAAGTTACTCGGTCATGGGTTACTCGAGTTACTCGGTCAGGGGTTACTCGAATTGCTCGGTCAAGGGTTAGTTAAGGAGTTCGGTTAGGGGTTACTCGAGTAATTCGGTCAGGGGTTACTCGAGGGGTTCGGTCTGGGGTTACTTGAGGGGTTACTCGGTCAAGAGTAACTCAAGTAACCCATGACCGAGTAACTTGAGTAAACCCGACAACTCGAGTAACCCCTGACCGAGTAACTCAAGTAACCCCTGCAGCACGGCACAACAGGCCGCATACAAAAAATTGTGTTTTCCATTTAAGCCATAAAAAGCTACCAAATCTATTAACTTATACTAAAAGCAAATCCTTCCCTGACACATGTCATTACCTTGTAAAAAAATTTCCCGCCTTTTTTTGCCTCTCTCTCTCTCTCTCTTTTTTTTTTTTTTTTTTTTTTTTAATTTTTTTATTTTATTTTGCAAAATCTTTAAGTAAACTATTTATACCTTATGATATTTTCTTTTCCGTTTGACAATCATATTCCATATATATCCAAATAAAATATTTTTGAATATCTTTTATATGCTTTATATTTTGTAATATTATTGTCAAAAATATTTAACAACCGTGCATTGCACAGGATTTTAACCTAGTTTAGCTGATATATAAAATTACTTTTCTTAAAGCTTATCATGTTCTAGTCTAGCTACAAGTATTTTAATTTAATGAAAACATGCCTGTCAAGCTTTCATCAACTTGAAGCTTCCTCTCATGCACATTTATGAACCTGTTACATTGTTTTCTCCATTGATATGAAGTTAAGACATTGTTTTAATCAACTCTTGGCAATAGATACAGCATCAGTTGAAGTTTTAAGATGAAAAGCCGTTTGAAGCTAAGTGTAGGACTAGACTCGAGCAAAATAAAAAAAAAAAAACTTACATCATTTATATTCTTGTGCTCCTTACATAATAACTAATTTTCATTATACATGCTCTCATCAAGGTGAAATTAATTACTTGCATGCACCATGATGTACCTAGGAATAATAGGTTCACCTGAAATATAATGAGATGAACTTACACGAGATGCCAAAGGCAGAGTAATGAAAAGGGATTTGTTAAACATCGCCCGCAAATTACCATATAAAGCCCACAAATATGACTTGGTGTGACTTTATTGCCCTTTTCCTTTTAAAAAAAAAACACTCTCTACTTCTCTCTAAAAAAAATCAGAAAATCTACCTCTCTTAACAAAATTAATAACGACAATGTCGAGGCGGCAAGGGAAAGAGGTGGCGGCGGCGACGGTGGAGGAAAGGCGGCGACCTGGTGGCAAGGTAATTATTTAATTATTTTTTTAAAAAAAAAAAAAAAAAGAAGACGGTGGCGCGTGGTGGGGCGTCAGGTCCGGCAGCCAAAGCCGGTGGGTGGCGTCTGGCTTGGAAGCCCAGCCACCGGAGCAGGCGTTCAAACCAGAAGCCAGCCCATTGGCTATGGCGTCCAGATCAGGCACCTGTGCCAATGGGTGGGCGTCCAGTTCAGGCGCCTGCCCACTGGCTACGGCTGCCGGAGCTAGCGCCACCGCCAGTGGGTGGGCGTCCTGGCCAGGCGCCCGCCCTTTTTTTTTTTTTTTTTTTTTGTTTTTGTTTTTTTTTGTTTTTTTGGTTTTGTTTTTTTTTTGTTTTTTTGTTTTTTTTTGTTTTTGTTTTTTCTGATTTTTTTTTGTTTTTTTTTGTTTTTGTTTTTTTTTTTATTTTGCAAAATCAGAAATTTAGTTTTATTTAAAATAATTTTGTTTTATGTCTAATTTTTTTTTGTTAATGTGTTTTTTTTTTTTTTTTAAATATTTATCAACTTTATGTGTTTTTTTTATAAATCGTGTATATTTTATTTTTATAAAATCAGATTTTTTTTTTTGTGTTCATGTTTTATTTTTTTTATGTTTGATGTTTAAACATTTTTGATGCCTTAATTGATGTAGTATGTGGAAATTGTTTGTGTTAATTTGTAATTGTTTTTTTTATTTAAAATATGTAATACATTAGGGTATTATGTGTGTATTTGTGTATGTGTAATATATTTGTTTTTATTTTTTATGTTTAATTATTTGAAATAATTTTTATTTTTTTGGAAATCATAAATTTTGTAATATATTAGGGTATTATGTGTGTATTTGTGTATGCCGTATAATATTTTTCTATGTTTAATTAGTTGAAATAATTTGAAATTTTTATTTTGTGTCCTATTTAGTTATTATGTCTTTGATTTTTTATAATCTTTATTAATTTTATGTTTATAAACATGACGATATGTTGGAAGTGTTGGTATTTTGTATCTGTAGGTAGTTATTTATTTTTCTAAAAAACTTTTGTATGTTTATATATTTTTAAATTTTTTGTAAAATTCACTGGGTCGTCATGGTGCGGGGAAGAATGTAGAGCTTCTTAATAGAAGTTATTCAGTGGAGAGGTCGGGGCATAGACATGTTAGATCCCGTGGTATTTCGGCCTCGGCTCGTAGAGAACGGATCCACCGTCGGGATAAGGATGACGATGACGATGATGATGCTGAGGAGGGTGACCAGGAGGAGGAGCAGGAGGAGGGCGCATATGAGGAGGATGAGGATGTGGACGATGGGAGTGGACCGTATGATGATTACGGTCCATTCAGTCAGAGGGTTGATGACATGTACGAGACACATAGGGTGGAGGTGCGTAAGGGTAGGGGTGGTAGATTTGTTAGTAGATATGGCACATCATCTGCGTCCACTGTATCTGGGGCAAGCAGGAAACGGTCGAGGGCCGTTAATGATTCTTGGGTTGTTAGGAGTGAGGTGCCCGGTGGGCCTGTTGACGGGAGTGTGATTCCTAGCTTTCTAGGACACATAGCTGCCCTTATTTGGGAGGACCAGGAGAGGCCTTCAGTTACGGGGTTGTTGAAATGTCATACCCGGGAAAAGACTTATAGTTTTTTGCGTACATGGGCTGAGGCTTGGCCGGCGGAGAGCGAGATGTTCGAGCGACTGGAGGGCACTGGGGTGAATCACGTTCCTGCCACCATGCACGATAAGATTGACAGTACGCTGATCACGGCTTTCGTTGAGCGATGGCAGCCGGATACAAACTCTTTCCACCTTCCGTTCGGTGAGATGACGATCATGTTACATGACGTCGAGGACATTCTGGGGATTCGTGTTGAGGGTAAACGACTTTGTGCTGTGGCTGATGCGGATCAGGCAGATTTGCTGGCGGAGTTGTTGGCGGTGGACAGGGCTGCACTGTACACCGAGGCGCTTGGTGTTTGGGAACACGGCGGTGTGAAGATCGCATCCGTGTTGCAGCGGTGTTTGTACCCCAGTGCACGTAGGACGCACGACGCACAGCTGAGTGCTTATGTTTTTCTACTCCTCGGATGTACCTTGTTTCCGGATAAGAGCGGCGGAAACAAGCTCAGGCCACGCGACATAGTAGAGGCGTGTGACCCCGACAGTGTAGGCCAGTTTTCCTGGGGATCGGCTACGTTGGCGTATTTGTATCGCCAACTAGGATTTGCGAGTCGGGCTGACGCGGCAGGTATCAATGGGTGTCTGACTCTATTGCAAACCTGGATATACGAGTACTTTTCTGCATTGCGACCACATCGTGACCCGGTTCCTATTGATGAGGGGATGCCGCGTGCTTGTGCGTGGAGTCCGCGCTCGGAGAAGAAGTCCGTTGACCGCCTCCGATCGATACGGTTATTTCTTGACAGGTTGTCCCCCTTAGAGGTAACGTTTATAAATTGTTTCTACATTTTATTATATGCACATATTATATTCATGTTATTAAATTTTAAAACAATGTGCAGGTGAACTGGATGCCTTTCGGCTCGAACCCTAGTGTTATGGTACCCAGGACCCTGTACACGGGACTCATTCAGTATCGTGAGATCGTCGAGGCGTACATGCCCCAGCGTTGTCTTCGCCAGCTTGGATTTGTCCAAGTTGTCCCTCCTCCCCCGGCATGCCCGACGAAGGCGGTCCGACCTGCATCGTCGAGGGACTACGTCGTGCGATGGCCAGATATCATGACTGGGACGTGGGACCAGTTTCCGATGGTGGCCCGCTTATGGACTGCGGAGTTGCAGCGGCCGCCCTCTGGGGTTCCTCCCATGTGTGACCACTACTACATGGAATGGTTCAACCGGTATTCGCACCCGAGGTTGATCGCAGATCTCGACCACAGCGATGATGATTATGTGCCACCGCCTACTGCCATGGAAGCGGTATGTCTCATAAAATATTTATCGTTGTTTTTTAATTAAGTTTTATATGTTGTTATTGTATTTCATCTTTTATTTTTTGTTGTATGCAGTGGATGGGAAAGATAATGCAGGACGTACAGAAACTCTCTCTGGAGAAGGACAACATGAGTGCAACAGTGAGAGTTGCTGTTGATAGTCTGGAACAGACCCTTGCGCATTGGGAGTCGGCGTCGAGGAGGGATTACTGATGGTTTTGTCATTTTATTTATAGAGCACTTTAAATATTATCGTTTTAATTTATTAAATTGGACATTATGTTTTAAGTTTGTAACATTTTAGATTGTTCTTTTAGCTTTCAACTTTGACATATTATCATTGCTGTTTTTAAATTTTGACATAACCGTTCGTGGATCCGCGCAACTTACCCATGCAACATATAGAATGCAGTAAGCAATACAATATAAAAAATTAATGTTCTCATTAAAAGAGCAACGTACAAATAAGGTTACATAGGAAGAATGTAAACATGAAAAACTAAAATGCAGCTAGGGTGTTCCATTCGTGGATCCGGTCATGATATAGCGCATCCCAACCCTCTACGCTCGCTGTGCGAATGGTGTACCACCGAGGTATAATCGGTGGCACTGGAAAATCGGATGACATGTCTAGTCGGATGAAATGTCTGTATGACGACCCAAGAAATGCAATAGCTGCCTCTCTGACCAGTGTGGATACAGTCTCACGCGAACGCCAAGGGAGAACCGTGGTACAAGGATAATAAGCTTGACTATGCAATCCCAGCCCGAAATGCATGACCGCGTTCTTGTAAATGTTTGCAACGGCAAACAGATCTAGGGGCGCGTCAAAATAATGATTTTGACCGCAAGGTCAACCTCCCCACCGGATACGCCGCAGAGCGCCATCCAAGTCATCCTGGTACACATGACGATAAACATTTCGGTTAGAGGCAATTTCACTGTACATCAACTGACGCACCAAACCATAGTTGTCTTCGCCCATTTGAAAAACATCAGCCACGACCCGGAATCCGCAGTTACCATCTCCGACTACATCATTCCACCCTTCCAAGTACAGCATGATGATCGCAGGTATCCTGTCCTTGTACAGAAACTGATCAACATCGTTTCTTCCTATTCACCATATAATTAAACACAGTTAAGAAGGCAGGAGTAACCTTATAAACAATGTGCAATGTAAAAAACCAAAACGTACCAGTTCTCAGGGGCATATTCACAGACGATGAAGATTGACTACGACTAGATGACGATGTCCGACCACGAGCACGACCACGACCAAGACCACGGATATACTCAAACGCACTCCTGTTCTGCCGTTGCCGATCTCGAGGACGGTCAACTCCTTCGGGTTCCTCAAAATCTAAGGTAGACGTGTGGAACATGTCATGAAGTACATGAGTAGCGTCACGAATAATAGAAGGATGGCTGGAGGACACTCGGTCGTACATCGAACGAAACTGCTCCAACTCCTCCTGTTCACGGTCGGTCGTTTGAGTATCTGCATGCTCACCAATAACGAGCATTTGCCAGAATGAATGAACCTGATCAACATGTAACGACGCCCTTTCTTCTGTAATAACGCGGTGAATGGTGCATGCGCAAGGTAATCCATGAGTTACTGAAATAGCACACCCGCACCGAGCATACACTTCGTCAGCTAAGTCCCTCATCCTGTTCAGCTTAGTGAGAATCAACCCCAAGCAGTAGTGCGACACACGACCATGGAGAGTCTTAAATATGAAATGGCTATACATCGTACCATGTCGTCGTCTGGAGTCCTCTAGAGAGTTCCTGATGCCGTTCTTCTGAGTTTCAATTGACTTGTTAAGTCTATCGAACAGTGTATCCAAAGCAGCGGTCGATGAATCAATCCAGTCCTTGGTAGCTCTATGAGCGCTCTCAACTCTACCTGTTGTAGTGTTCCCGAAATGAAGTATCTGGTTTATCCAATATTTGACAAACTTTTCCCTGTGAGGGACCCATTGCTGCATCACATAGTCCACCAGTGCCGGACACCACTGGTACGAATCCCTGAAGTTAGCCAATTCTCGCTCGTACGCTTCCTCTGTGGTAGCCTGTAGGATCTTCCGCCACTTACCATTCACCAATCTCTCTGCCATTTCCAAATTCTTGTTGAAAAGGTTGTAGGCATTCACTTTCACGCAGTTGTTGATGTGCCATGTGCACAATAAGTGCTTCGATTTTGGAAACAGCTCTGCTATGGGGGCAAAGAGACCTCCCTCACAGTCGCTGACGATGGCTGCTGGATGAACATTAGGCCCGATGTAGTTTCTCAGCTTCTCCAAGACCCAATAATAACTTGGAGCCGTCTCATCCTTGATGATTGGATGACCAATCAGATTGTTCTGGTTCGTTGGAGTCATCCCCATGATCTCAACCAGTGGGAACTTGTACTTGTTTGTCTTGTACGTTGAGTTGATCAAAATCACAAATGGCCAAGACTTGATCATATCAGCACAATCAGGATGCACAAGGAAAAGATGAGTCACCTCCGCTGTATCTTCATCAGAATCAAACCAGAACAGGTAACCACGTGATTGTGCCTGGTGTAGCAGCTGCTGTATAGGGTTCCTTCCCTCTGACCGTTCAAACCTGAGTTGTTGTCTGACGTTGTAGATGTGTCTTCGGTTTGGATGGTCTTCTGGAAATTTCTCTAACACAGATGCTTAGCAGGCTTGACTTGAGCATCACTCATTTCTTTCACAACTAGTTTCGCAACAGGACTTAAGCCGCTCAGCTGTCGATGACCCTCTTCATATACTATCATCTCATGGTTGTGATACCCCCATTTAGAGTAACCAATCACTTCCCAACCGTCACGACTCCGTAGTTGTCGGACCTTTACTCCGAACTCACACCCACAACCTTTCCGTTTTGTATGAAACCGAGTGGCTGTACGAAAATCTCTTTCTTCTCTTTTGCGATAACGGTCACATCTCAAAATGCGATCCATTCTACCATCCCGTTGAGATTTATGAGTTACTACTACCAAGAAAAATCCAGCTACAATTGCAACCTGTTTTGCCCAATCATTCGCTTGTTGAGCTTCTTCGAATGGACCATCATGTCCAAATATCCCACTGTAATCATTTCCGTCTCCATCATAATCTTGCATCAATTATATATTATAATAAATACATTTAACGGATAATACATTTAATTTCTATATTTACACATAATTAACACAAAAAAAAAACATAATTATGTATAATATTATTCATACACATACAAATTTTAAATACAATCATTTATAAAAGTCACATAAACAATTAAATATTTTGGTATACATTAACACAAATCTACTCACTACATACATAAACACATTAAATAATTAAACATAATTTAAAAAAAAACACCGTTTTGAATTTTCAATTTGAAATAAATTAAAAAAAAAAAAAACCATTTCCAATTTTTTTTTTGATACAATTTCGAATTGTCAAACTTAATTTTAAAAAAAAACCTTTCTCAACAATCAAACTTAATTTTTAAAAAAACCCAATTCGAATTTTCAAACTAAATTTAAAAAAATACCATTTCGAATTTTCAAACTTAATTTTAAAAAAACCCATTTTGAATTTTTTAAAAAAATCATTTTTGATTTTAAAAAAAAAATAATTAAAAACAACAAAATCAAAAAAGGAAAAAAAAAAAAAAAAGAAATATAGGTGACGTCTGCCAGGGCCACCACAGCCACTGGACTGGCGCCTGACAGGGCCGCCTCAGCCAGTGGAGTGGCGCCTGGCCAGGACGCCAGTTTGGTGGTCTGAGCGTCTGGGCTGGACGCCGGTGTGGTGGTTCTGGCGTCTGGCTTGGACGTCCATGCTACGGTTAGGGCGTCCATCCTAGGCGCCGGAGCCACTCCTACGGTAAACCGTGAATTTTAACGGTGACTTACCTCGTTTTCCGTCGACGACGACGTACCTCCGGCGTCCCCCGCATCTCCGGCCTGCCCTCCGGTCTCCCCCGACGAGCCAGTACGGCTCCACATTTTTTAAATCGAGATTTGTTCAATTTTAGAAAATGGGCATAATTGTCACACCAAGTCATATTTGTGGGCTTTATATGGTAATTTGCGGGCGATATTTAGCGATTCACAATGAAAAATGTGTTTTGCCAGATACGGAGTAGATAAAACTCACTATTCCTTGGTAGACCCGACAATCCTGACCCAGATACGATAACCTGACCCGACTCATGACCCGAAACTGGCCCGACCCGAAGATAGAGTTGAACCGATCCTGACCCGACCCGAAATTGACCCGAATTGTTTGACCCAAACAAACTCGATACTCAAAATTGACCCGAACAGACCCAATACTCGAAATGTCTCGAACTAAAATTACCTTATAATTGAACTAAAAATGTCTGGTGCCAAAAATAATTTAAATTGTTATCTTCAACTGTAGCCACACTCATAAACCGAATTGATAGTTCTTATTATAAGTTTATAACAATAATAAAAAAATAAAATTATTGATTTGAATTAGATCCACAAATTAAATGGAACAACCCGAACATGACCCGATCTGATTTTGCCCCGACCCGAATATGACCCGAATATACTTGACCCGAAAATGACCCGACCCAACCCATACCCGACTCGAATGTTAACTAGCCGGAAATGACCCGACCCGAAATTGACCCGACCCGTACCCAACCCGAACGACCCATTTGCCAGGTCTACTCCTTGGGCTTTGGTACTAAATTTTATCAACCAATAAACCAGGATTCAAAAATATAGATGAACTAGGAAATTTCTCATTAAAAAATGTCATTACATGCATAAACCAAAATTTACACAGCCTAACATCCACCAAGTCATTACTCAGTAAAAAACCAGCATTTCAGAATATCAGAGGACTGTCTAATTTACAGGAGACTCGACCAATTGACAAACTGCATAAGACTGAAAAAGAGGGCAGTCATATCCTCCTTCTATTATCTACTCGCATTTTCTTTGAAGCCTGGCCAGATTGCATATTTGAAGAAGTTGATTCTATCTGAAACAAGGGCATAGGAAGATTAGACAACCAGCTCTTGGGGCAAATTTAGCAAGACAAATTAGAGTTGCAGAATCCTCACCTTATCGAGCTTCTCTCTCACCCTTCTAACCGTTTCATTCATTGACTGGGATGGGAAATAATCCTAACAATGATACAAAATATACATCCAAGGTTATACATTTATTAATCAAGAAAAGATCATCTCAATAATTTCTAATACTACAATAAATGAACGAATGAAGTAGTCACAAAGAAATACAAGTAATAATGTGAGGAAGGTGACGCGAAGAAAAAAAAAAGGTAAAATCCATTAGATCCCAGGTTTTATTTAGAAGGGGGTGTTGGAGTCAAAGAAGATTATTAATAACAAAATGAAAGCAGTTTATCACTTCAAATATGTTGCCAAATCGGCACAAGGGTATAATGCAGACACTAGAGCAAAAGGTACAAGAAGTGGAAATGAATATCACTAGTCTAGTTTCAATTTATTCTCATGTGTTCATATCTTTAAAAGAATATTGTTAGTGTAGATTAATTACCTGATCAGAGGACACCCTGGTGATTAACGAAGGATCTACCTTAGAAAGTTGATCCATTTCTTTGGGGTAACTACATGAAATTAGATTGAAATAAACTCCAATGACCTATCGAAATTGCATCAATGGAATACATAACTAAGTAAAATAGCATACCATCCTTGCTTTACGTCCAATTGTTGAGATACTTGTGAGGGAGATCCGTGTAACAAGGGAGGGTTACTAACACCTATACTTTGCATTTCATTACCTCTAGATCTTCCTGCTGGAATTTCACCAAATAATATAGATTTCAAATTTAATAAATATAAATGAAAAGAAAAAGAAAAAAAAAAAACCTCAAAATACTTTGGGACTTATTAAGTTAATTCTAAAATGAGTGATTACTTACACTTCAATCGTCCCAGAACCTCCTTTCTCCTGCCTTCCAACTTCTCTTTTGTGTCAGACAGAGTCTCGTACTCAGTAGCATATGACACCTGCAGCCGATTTCCAAGGAAAACAGACTCATCTAGTTTTCTTTTTGCAAACCTAAACATTGTAGCAAGCAACCGTGATTACTAACTTCATTCCTTCATCAATTGTGGTATGGAGTATAGAATATAATAATGTGAACAATTTAGTATCTTCATGCACAAAGTTTAATATTCGATATTCCCTTAATTCAATCAAATAATAGCAAATTTTGCCCACCCAAATTGCTATTTTAAGCTTGGAACACAAAAGCAAGCCAACATAATTACCTGGCGTTGCTGATCATATGAAATTTGATCCAGTAGACATCGGTAAATGCCTCACACTCTTCCGCATCCATAGGTTTACAACTGCATTGCATATATTTAGAATTTAGGTAATTGGCTAATAGCTTACCAAACAACTAGGCCAAATCTTTCCACTTAACAAGGTTGGCTATAAGGACACTACATACCCAAATAGCATCTGAAATTTATACATAAAAGATCCAATCAAGTTCCAAGTTGCATACTGGTTGTTGGTCATAAATGATATGAGTGACAGATACTAGAGCTACAATAATATCTAGGTGCACGCAGAAAACCCTTCAAACCCCATTGTATTGACATACTAGACAAAGTTCTAGTCCAAAGAAGAACAGCAAGGATAAAGCAGTTGTATAATTATCTTTGGGGGGGGTGGGGGGGTGTGTGTGCGCTAATTTCACAAATATTTCAACTTCCACCAAGGCACCAAAGCTAGTCCTTTTGGAAGTCAATGTTTAATAGTTAAGCATGTTGCTTCATCCTCATTCTATTTCTTATGTAGAAATGAAGCTGGTAACTTCAATGACTGAAAGACATCAGTAGAACCCTTCAAAGTAGGCTAATCTAAAACCCAAATACAAATGGTATAAGTTCAAAGTCACCCAAAGAACTCTTAATACCAAAAAAGGGCTCTTTCAATAACATACTTAAGCTATGCAGGTAATATACTACGAGTAACTATCAATAATTATCCCTACTACATAATGAGTGTAGCTGCAAGCCTTCCTAGAATTCTACTCCCTAATCTCACCAAGTAATTACCTCAATGATCGATAACAAAAGCAAGTACGAGTATTCTCCTATTCCACTAATCTCGTGAACTAAAAATAAAACCATAGGAGCCAACTATGCTATCATGTGACATTAACTTCTCTTTCAAATCCAAAACACCCATGTTTGAATGTTTGACCCTTGGAGATATAATTCACACACTTCAATAGATCAAAAACCTGAAAACTGTAAGCTTACGAGTTTGAATCTCAGCATTGTCAAATTTCATAAAATTCAAGTGCCATACATTTCAATTATACTACCACTAGTCCACTACTATTCATTAAAAGGTAGTTAATCGCATTTCACATTGAAAATTAGAATCAAGGAACCTAATTAAACTCACAATGTCAACAATTTAAAAAAAAACACAATCATAATAAAAATAAAAGGGAAGCATACTCTTCAACTTCTCCATATGTTGCAAAAAGTTGTTTTAGTTCATCACCACATCCCAGTGCTGGTACATTCCTCACAATCAAGTACCTTTAGCAATTGGGTGATTCCCCAAATTAAAAAAATATATATCAAATTTAGAGGAAAATTTCATCAAATTTCAAAATTATATTGCAACATTAATTAATTAAAAAAAAAAAAAACAAACTTTGATTCATCACAGACAGTATATACACGAACAGCAGGAGGCTCATCTTTGTATCGTGGCATTTTCTTGCTCCCTGAAAAAAAAAAAAAAAAAAAAAAAAAAAAAAAAAAAAAAACCAGAAAATCCCATCAATCAATTTAAGAACAAAAGGTACAGAAATTAAGCTTTTTATAGATTATAAACAGGATTATTAATTTGAAGAAAAATAGAAAGAGGATTTAAATAATTGATTTGAAGAGCATACTTCGAATTGAAATAAAAAGAGGTGATTTAGTGTGAAAATCTAACGAAACAAGGATAAACCTAATCAAGAATGTAATGGCGGTGGAATACAATGAAGCTTCTTACAAATGAAGAATCTCTCATGGTTACTTACTTTGAGTTTTCCTCTGCTTTTCTATGAACAACACATGTGATTTGGCGACTTTCTTTATGTTTGTGTGTGCGACGTCGTTTTAATCCTGTAAGATTTTTACATTTTTCATTTTTCTTTTAAGCCCTCTTTGGTTGGGTATAAAATGTTTTCAATGGAAAACGATTTTCACGAAAAACCTTTTCCGTTAGAAGATGTAATTTTGCTACACATTTTCCCTTGTTTGGTTATATGTAAATTGATTTTTCTTTTAAGCATCTTCAAAAAATTTAAACAAAATAAAACTAATAGGTAAAACACACTCTACCATCAACTAACATCGATATGTAAAACACGTAACTTCAACACATAATCAACCCGTCACATACTTCATATCACTTAATTCCCTCTTTTCAACCATTTCTCTTCGCTTATCGATATCTAACACATAAACATTTGAAAAAATTAATCTCAACTTTCACCGGTTCACTCAAAATAATCTCAATCTTTGAATTATTTTTAAATAATCTGAACTTTGAGGGTTATTCACTCAAAATAGTTCCACGTGACTGGTAACTTGCTAAAGAGGTTTTTTTTTTTTTGTTTAAGATACATGTGTCATCACATGATTATTTGGAAAAACATAAACAATATTAATAAACTTAAAAAAAAATAAAAAAAAATAAACCAACCCCATCCACCACCAACTTTCCGGCAGCCACCTCCTCCCACCGCCCAAGTACCCCGTTCCCTGCCCCTAACCGCCGCCGCGTCCAGAACTCTTCTCCTTCGCGCCGACTCCGGCGATGTCACTCCCCCTACCCTCTAAACCACCAAAACCCCGACTCGAAAACCCCCTCACTCAAATCTGAAACACCTAAAAAAACGCAACTCCACCGCACAAACCCCCCAATCGGCCCTCTCCCACCTCGCTAGGGTTTCGAGGGTGGGGGATGGCCGGCGGGACTGGGCATTATTAAAGGTTCGAGTTAAGATAATGGTGGTTTTGGGGTCGGGATTAGGTGATTTAGGGGGTATGGGAGGGGAGCGCCGGCGCCAGCACGCCGGAGGAAAGGTCTGGGCACCGACGCGGGGGATTTCCAGCGGCGACTGAGTTGGGGGGTTCCGAGGAGGTCATGGTTGGTGGTGGGGATAGTGGTTGTGGGTGGGGCTGGGTTTTTGTTTAATTATTTAAGTATTTCCTTTTTTAAAAATTTATTTAAGTTTTATTTAATTTTTATTTTACAATCATTCATGTAGTGACACGTGCCACTGTAACCTGCTATAATAAATTGGTGACCGGTTGGGACCATTTTGAGCGAATAACCCCATAGTTCGGATTATTTAAAAATAATCTAACGAGCGAACCAGGGAAAGTTGAGATTATTTTTAGCAATTTTTCCTAAACATTTAAGGTAAACATAATAAAATTGACCCAAACCTTAATATGATGGGGCTCAATTGTCCTTAAAAAAATAAAAAAAAATAAATAAATAAAAAAACAAAACAAAAATGATGGGCTTAATTTAAAGGCCTCAACATGTTTTTTTTCTTTCTCTCAATCCATCGCATTCAAGAGAGTTGTGGAAAACCAACCTAACCCCCATAAACACCACTCCATATCATCTAATCATCGAATCACATTTCCATAAACATTGTCGGTTTATAAAAGAGAAAATACATATTAATATGGCATATTAACATGCGTTGTTTATATGGGGTCGCAGAAGTCATTTCATTTTGTAAAGTAAGGGTTTCCTCGCAATTTTCACTGCAACCTTTGCTAACAGACTAACGACCATCAACCCTTACTCAAAACCGCGTTTTGAAATAATTTTGGTTGTTACTCCGTTATGTAGACCCCTTTCATCAAAACTATGTTACCCTTCCTCCCTGAGAAGTGAGTGCAGTCAAACTGTTGTGCGACAGCGGAAGCAAAGGTCGAAAACAAACAAGAAAACAATAAAGAAATTCAATGCAAACAATAAGAACAACACCAAGAATTTACGTGGTTCACTATCGATGTGATAGCTACGTCCACGGGCACCGAGATCGAATGATTTCACTATAAACTGCAAAGATTACAAAGATGATTCTTGTATTTCTCAAGAACGGCTTTCACTCTGTCTCTCTTACCCTAATACTGATATTTGGGAGTTTTTATATTAATCCCTAACATAAAAGATACTTGGGCAAAAAGATAACATAAAAGATAACTTTAAATCGTAAAATCCGCGTTCCGTATTTTTCCTTCTCCGCCCGGTCAGACCGGGCAAGGTCTGCCCGATCGGGCGCGAGAAGAAAACTCCATACGAATGCTTCAACGTATCTAACCCCCACCGCCCGGTCAGACCGGGCAAGGTCTGCCCGATCAGGCGAAGGCTCGCCCGGTCGGGCGAAGGCTCGCCCGGTCGGGCGCGAGAGCAGCTTCTTCAACGAATTTGCCAGGCACCTCTTCTTCTTCCGCCCGGTCAGACCGGGCAATGTCCGCCCGATCGGGCGGACAAAGCTACGAAGTACGAGTCACCTAATATACTTATCAACAATCTCCACCTTGACGAGAACTCGTAGTCAGCAAACGACCCCATCAAGACATAGTGAAAAAACATCTCAAGCCAAACCCGATGCAGGACTCATGCATAAGCCATACATCCCGATAAGTCTTCAACCAAGACCCATCACATACTCGTCTCCAAGTATAACAACTCATAATGCTCCACCTGCATCACAAGCCCCGGGCAAGCTCCACCTTAAGGCCAACACACCTACACCAGGAGCTCCCCAACTTCGCCCCTCAGGGCCTACTACATCACGTAGTAATCAATATTTAGCAAGTCTAAGCAATGTTTAAACTTGCTAAACGGAACAGGCTTAGTGAAGAAATCAGCCGGGTTGTCAGCAGTCCCAATCTTCTTCACCTTAATCCTCTTGTCAGTACGTAAGAAATGATACCTGACATCAATGTGCTTCGTCCGATCATGGTGTACTTGATCTTTAGCTAAGCAAATCGCACTTAGACTATCACAATACACTGTAGCAAAATCCTGTGCAATACCCAGTTCACCTACTAGGCCTTTGAGCCAAATAGACTCCTTAGCTGCAGAAGTTAAAGCCATATACTCAGCTTCAGTAGTTGACAACGTAACTGATGACTGCAATGTAGACTTCCAACTAACCACAGAACCACCCAAAGTGAACACATAACCAGTCACAGACCTCCTGGTATCCACATCAGCTGCATAATCAGAATCACTGTACCCAGTGACCAAGCATTCCCTACCATTCCCGTACACAAGACCAATATCAGTTGTCCCTCTCAGGTAGCGAAAAATCCTTTTCACCCCTTGCCAGTGTTCCCTCCCAGGTCGAGCCATAAACCTGCTTACAACACTAACAGCATGCGCAATATCCGGCCTAGTACAGACCATAGCATACATCAAACAACCAACCGCGTTTGCATATGGAACTCTAGACATATAAGACAACTCCTCCTCTGATTGAGGTGACATAGACAAAGACAACTTACAACTAACAGTAGTTGGCGTACTTATAGGCTTCGATTTTTCCATCCCAAAACGAGACAAAATCTTTTCAATGTAGCTTTTCTGAGTCAAGAAAAGCTTACCTCTAGCCCGATCCCTGTAGATCTCCATACCCAAAATCTTCCTAGCTGCACCCAAGTCTTTCATGTCAAACTCCGAGTTAAGCATCTCCTTTAATCTAGCAATATCAGATTTATTCTTTGTGGCAACCAACATGTCATCAACATATAACAAAAGATAAATCATGGAACCATTATCCAGCTTACTATGATACACACAGCAATCATATGAATTCCTGTCAAAACCTTGTGAAACCATAAAAGAATCAAACCTTTTGTACCACTGTCGGGGGGATTGCTTAAGTCCATACAATGACTTTAGCAATCTGCAGGCATAGTGTTCCTTTCCAGGAACTTCGAATCCTTCGGGCTGCTTCATCAGAATCTCCTCCTCCAAATCGCCATGAAGGAAAGCCGTTTTAACATCCAACTGCTCCAGCTCAAGATCAAAATGTGCTACAATTGACAATAACACACGGATAGAAGTATGTCGAACCACAGGTGAGAATATCTCAACAAAATCAACCCCTTCTACCTGACTGAACCCCTTAGCAACTAGCCTAGCCTTAAAACGTATTTGCTCAGTTTCCGACAACCCTTCTTTCTTCTTGTAAATCCATTTACAACCCACAAGCTTCCTCCCTTCCGGTACCTTTACCAGTTCCCACACTCTGTTCTTGTAAAGAGACTGCATCTCTTCACCCATTGCGGCAAGCCATTGCGCAGACTCACTACAACTAATTGCTTGTTTATATGTGGCAGGTTCAAATGACTCTACATCATCAGCTACACTCAATGCATAACCTGTCATCGCATCAACACAGCAATTTCTTCCCTCCATCTCTTCAATCAATCTAACAGGCTTCTTGATAACTCGTTTAGGCATCTCAAGAATGGTGTCAGGTTGACTAGATGACCCCTGATTAGATTGCTCCACCTCATCCCCAGAGTTAGAATGAGTAGGAGTAATCTCAGGTTCAGGAGTACCCGGCACTGGAACATCAGCATCATCATCAATATATTGTACCCGAGGTAAATCAGCAATGGTAGACTGATGTACCTCAAGTACCCCATCTGTCTGTAATAAATTGTCTCCTTCCCTTCTCAAATCTGAAATCTCTGCATTTTTAATTGAATACATGGTGTTTTCATCGAAAGTAACATCCCTACTAAGAATGACCCGACCCTCCGAAGGTGAAAAAATTCTAAACCCCTTCACACCATCCCCGTACCCAACAAAACACCCCTTCTTGGCTCGTGGATCCAGCTTACCCTCAATAACATGATAATAAGCAACACAACCAAAAATCTTCAAATTCGAAAAATTAGGCAACTTACCACTCCAGATCTCAAACGGAATTTTGGAATCAATTCCAGAATGAGGACCCCTATTAATGACATAACAAGCTGTTAACACAGCTTCACTCCAGTACCTCCTCCCAAGCCCTGCATTAGAGAGCATGCATCGAACTCTCTCTAGCAGTGTCTGATTAACCCGTTCTGCTACACCGTTCTGCTGTGGTGTCTTCCTGACAGTATGATGCCGACCTATACCCTCATCTGCACAGAACTGATTAAACTCGTCTTTGCAAAACTCTAGCCCATTGTCCGTTCGTAGCTTCTTGATCTTCCTTCCTTGTCGATTTTCCACCAAAGCTTTCCATTGCTTGAAAACTTTGAAGGCCTCATCCTTTGACTTAAGCAACCTAAGCCATGTGTATCGGGACTTGTCGTCAACAAATGACACAAAATAGTGGTAACCTCCCATACCTTCAACTCTAGATGGACCCCAGCAATCTGAATGGATGTAATCGAGCACTGCATCAGTAATGTGAGCACCCTTGCTGAACTTTGACCTGTGTTTCTTACCAAACACACAATGCTCACAAAATTCAAGGTTGGCAACCTTGACCCCGGATAGAAGACCCCTCTTGGACAATAGCTGCATCCCCTTCTCCCCCATATGACCAAGCCTCATGTGCCAAATCTTAGTCATCTCCTGGTGAGATACAGATGCGCAAACCGCAGAACTAGGCAGTGTAACACCCTCAAAAACATAGAGGGTGTTCCTTTTGATACCCTTAAGTACCAACTCAGAACCTCTGAAAATACACAACTCCCCATCTGAAAACACACCATTGTACCCCAAGTCATCCAGGGTACCCAATGAAATCAGATTCTTTCCTAAAGCAGGAACATGCCGTACATTAGTCAAAGTTAACCTCCGCCCATCAACAGTCCTCAACCTCATGGAACCAATACCTGTGACCTTACATGGAGCATTGTTACCGACTATAACCATGCCCCCATTGCGAGGTTCATATGTATCAAACCAATCTCGACGTGGACACATATGGAACGAACACCCTGAATCTAGAACCCAGTTATCAGTTAAATCATCAGACCTAGCAGAACTGACTAATGCTAAATCTTCCTCTGAATTATAGCTCTCATTCGGTTTCTCTTCAACTACAGCAGCCTGGGACTTGTTTTTCCTCACCGGACAATTATTCCTAAAGTGACCCGGTTCTTTACAGTAATAACATGTTTTAGTAGTAGTTTTACTAGATCCATCCTTGCCGTTTCCAGCACCCGACCCAGCATTGTTCCCCTTGTTAAACCCCTTATTCTTTTTAGACTTTCCGGACTTAACAAACAACCCACTACCATTATCCCCATTATCACTCGTAGCTTTCATTCTGAGTTCCCTAGTATGAAGTGCTGCCTTCACTTCTTCTAAGGTTATAGAATCCTTACCAACAACAAAAGACTCTACAAAATTCTCAAAGCTAGACGGTAGAGATACAAGTAAAATCAACGCAGCATCCTCATCATCAATTTTAACATCTAAATTACGTAAATCAAGCAAAATAGAGTTAAGTTTTTCTAGATGTTCCCGTAAGGAAGTACCTGACTGCATCCGGAGGCTAAACAACCGCTGTTTCAGTAATAATTTGTTGGTCAACGACTTAGTCATATACAATGACTCCAGCTTCAGCCACAATCCAGCCGCCGTTTCCTGATCAGCCACCTCCGTGATGATTTGATCATCAAGACTAAGTAATATGGTAGAGTGTGCCTTCTCTTCCATAACTTCTAACTGCGAGTCAGTCGGTCCGTCTCCTGACTCCGAAGTAGTACTCTTTGGAGCCAACGGACGCCATATCTGCTGTTGTTTTAACAGAGCCTTCATCTTAATTTGCCATAGCCCGAAACTATTTTTCCCGGTAAACTTCTCAATTCTTATTGTTGAATCTCCTGCCATTGTTATCTTCAAGAAACTCTCCAAGGATTGAACCTGAGCTCTTGATACCAATTGTTGTGCGACAGCGGAAGCAAAGGTCGAAAACAAACAAGAAAACAATAAAGAAATTCAATGCAAACAATAAGAACAACACCAAGAATTTACGTGGTTCACTATCGATGTGATAGCTACGTCCACGGGCACCGAGATCGAATGATTTCACTATAAACTGCAAAGATTACAAAGATGATTCTTGTATTTCTCAAGAACGGCTTTCACTCTGTCTCTCTTACCCTAATACTGATATTTGGGAGTTTTTATATTAATCCCTAACATAAAAGATACTTGGGCAAAAAGATAACATAAAAGATAACTTTAAATCGTAAAATCCGCGTTCCGTATTTTTCCTTCTCCGCCCGGTCAGACCGGGCAAGGTCTGCCCGATCGGGCGCGAGAAGAAAACTCCATACGAATGCTTCAACGTATCTAACCCCCACCGCCCGGTCAGACCGGGCAAGGTCTGCCCGATCGGGCGAAGGCTCGCCCGATCGGGCGAAGGCTCGCCCGGTCGGGCGAAGGCTCGCCCGGTCGGGCGCGAGAGCAGCTTCTTCAACGAATTTGCCAGGCACCTCTTCTTCTTCCGCCCGGTCAGACCGGGCAATGTCCGCCCGATCGGGCGGACAAAGCTACGAAGTACGAGTCACCTAATATACTTATCAACACAAACAATCTTAAGTGATTGTCTACTTCGCAGCATTTGCGATACAATTAAACAACAGATAGCAGGCTGGTTTACGAGTTCGGGTGGTGGGGGCGGGGTACTTGTCGGAGCGTATTTTCCATGATTTTCTATTGAGAGTGAAGGTGAGGGGGTTGGGGTTTTGACCAGGGGTAATTGAGAGTGAGAGTGAGGGGGTTGGGTTTGGACTAGGGTCCAAGGGTGAAGGTCGATGGAGGGGTTGGGGTTTTAGCTAAGGTAGAGTGGTGCGGGTTACGCCTAAGGTTTAGGGTGGTGGGGTAAGGGTTTCGACGAGGTGGGGGGTGATGGGGTTGGCTGGTCAGTGAGTTGGGATAAGGGTGAGGGCGTGGTGGCGGTGGATATCTAACAAGAACTCTGTCATAAGAGGAGAGGATCAAGATTGTGTTTTCCATAATCCTTAATAAATAACTGGTTCAGCATAATTCGTGATTGTCGAATTCTAGATGAAATCACAAAAAAACGTTAAACGTTAGCAAACGCCCAGTTAAGTGCCACATCACCAAGAAGATAGAATAACATTAAAATAACTGATTCCACCGCTGATATTTGCAAAATTGCCACTATATTAACATGGCTTGTTATGCCATATTAACCGGGGCTAGCTCAATTATAAAGAATCCCCAATTTCTCTCCTTAACCTTGCTCAGAATTATCCGATCTAGGATTCATACTTCTTGTTCCTTCTTTTATCGGATCAGGTACTCTCTCTCCCCAGATATTTTTTTTTTCCTTCTTTAGCGTCAACTCTTTTATTTTTTGTTTTGGTTTTTCTCTTCGATTCCTTTGATTTCTTCCTGTTGATTTTGATTCTGTTTCAAGGTGATTTGTTGATTCTTTTTTGGTTTTTTAATTTGAGATTTGATTGATTTTTCTAGGTTTCGGTTGATTGTTTATCGTTGTTTTATTTGGTATGTTGTGATTTTTTTAATTGTAGAATTGTTCGCGTGCTATTGACTTTTGAGTTAGAAAGATTAGGGTTTTGAATCATTGATATCATTTCTTATGTTTACCTTGTATGATAGATTGTGTGCTGGTAGATCCTGTTTTGTATGTTGTAGATTGAATGAAATTTGTGTCGTTTTTTATTTAATTAAATTTTTCCTAAAATTCATATTCATGGTTTTGGGGATTAGTATTAGCTTTTTTGATGGCTTAGAAGCTATTTGGTAATTAGATTTGACCCCATTTGTTAATTAATATTCAGTTGTGGTGAATTGATTAGAAAGTATGTTCTTTTCACAAATTTGTTGATTGAATTCTCTGCGTTTGGATTGTTTTTATACCTATATGATTGTGATTACGATTGTTTAGCTGTTCTCAATTATTTGCGGTTGTTATTACAAATTTAGGGAACGAAGATTAAAGAGGACTAACTCTAGATATGCTCATGGTTAAGTGGTTAACCTATGTTATTTGTTACAAAAGTATTTGTGTTTGAATTATTTTGATTATAATGCATTACAACTACTACTTTGCCTTATGGCACTTCAATATTGTACTCCGTATAATTTTAGGCCTTGTTTGATAATTGATTAATTTATTTGATTGCTTAGTTTGACTAGCGATTTGTATGGCTGGTTGACATTTATTTAGATATAATTATCAACTTTAGTGAAAAACTAAAAGCTACTCCAACCATCTTATCATTTCGGCTTAAAACTCAGGTTTTAGCTAAAGTCAAAAGCCATTGAAAAACTAGAATGTTGTTATTCCACGTCAAACTAAGATTAGTTCGGGTCACTTTGGCTATCAAGTCAATATCAACGGATTTCGGATCAAGGTTTTTATGAGTCTTGGTTTGGGTAAATTGGTTTGGGTAATCGGTTTGGATCAACTTTGCCAAGCCTAGATCTATGCAACATAGGACAATTGTTCCCAACGTCGTTTTGCTTGATGCCTGGACCTCAACCGTCTGAAATATACCTCTCAAGCAAATAAGCTCGACACTTTGAAGAAATAGAGAAGACAACGGCTTTGACTCTCAAATTTGCAATTCTATCACTCAGTTTTCCCAGTTCTTAATCTAATTCCAGGTAATTCCTATTGAATTTCTGATTATTCTCAATTTTCATCATTATTTCAATACCTAACTTTGTCGAACGATTCAATATCCCTAATTTATCCGAACAATTCAATAATTGATGACGTAAATCTTAAAAAAATAGTTAAATTACAAACCCTTTAAATTATTTGCAGAATTTGTGTTTTTTTTCATTGTTTGAGCTAAATATTGAATAATTATTGATGGGGTGATTGTAATTTTGTTGGGCAGTTTGTAGAATTGAAAGATGGATGATATTTTGGTTGCTGTGCTTTCGATGCTGCTTGTGTTTAGTTTAGTTCCGTTGTTTTTATGGAAACGTCGTCGGGATTCTAAAGCTGCCGATAGGCTTGATGAAGAGCCTCTGGTTATTCAATCTCTAACCCTTTTATTGGAAATTAGTCGGTCTTATATACAACAGATGTATTGTACATTATTTTTTGTTGTCCGAATACACATGAAAGTCACCCCTTTACAAAGTTGATTTTTATGTAATTTGGAGTGATCAAGTATGTTGTATAAAAGTATGACATTCTAAAACTGTTGGGAGGGGAAAAATGTTTGTGGAAATATGATGGTGGAATGCAAATGTTTCAGGTTCCTCAAAGGGAAAATGTGGTTCGGGCTACTGGGGCTCGTCGTATGCGTCGTAGGCCAGCAACCAGGGCTAGTACATCTACAGCTGCAGCAGCTGTTGAAGGTTGGTTTTACTTCTGGTCGAGGTTTATGTGACATGGTTTTACTTTGTATGTTGTTCCTAATTGGTTATATGGCCGGCTTGTAAGGAACTAGTCTGTTTAAATGTACTGTATGTAAAGTTTGCATATCGCGCAACAAAAGTTTTGTGTGATTTCTACTCTGTAATTCGTTACAAATTGTGAAGTACTTGTGATGGCCAATGCTGTGGTTCATATATGATGTAAATGCAGAATTAGGCGACGAGAGTGATGACGAAGATGCTGAGGTTGAGAATGAAGCTAGGGGACGAAGGAAAAAAGATAAGAAACGACAAGAACGTGAAGCACAAAGACAGGTGATTTACTCCCTCATGTACTATGTATATCAGTATATTCCAAGTATATATGTAATGTCTTCAGAGTCATTTTATTATTCTAACATGCCTTATGTTGTACTCTTATGTCTTACCTTAGTTACCTAACCAATCACATATCATTCATATGATCTATAACCTTTGTCTGTTTCTCTATTAGCTGAAATTTGATGTTTTCTTACCAATTAAAAAATATGGAGGAATTTTAAGGGTCGTGACAATTATCCTTGATCGCTAGGTATTGCTGTAGTATCTGTTTGGTATTGTTCAGTTATCTATCAAAATACTGATACATTAGTTTCTGTTTTTTTCATTGTTTCTTACTGTGATCTTTCTTGAAGGCTGAACAAGCTTCACGTGACTCGAGGCTAGTCAAGCAAGATCGTTATGCAGAATCGCGAAGAAGAAAAGATGAGGAACGTGAAGCAGAAGAGCGACGAATGGTATGCTTTGCTTTGCTTGAACAATTTGGATTGTTTCTGAATTGGTTACATATTGAATAATGTGACTCCATATTTTTAGGAAGAGGAAGCTAAGGCTCGGCAAGCTAAGGAAGAAGCTGCCGCTGCATTAGAGTTTGAAAAGTGGAAAGGGGCATTCTCAATTGATGCTGAAGGCACCACAGAAAATGAGGCGCAAGAGAACCAGAATTTACTTTCTGACTTTGTGGAATACATTAAGGTAGGTGCTGTAGGTCTGAGTTACTCAATGAAATTTTGACTTGTTTATTGCATTTTGAAGATCCATCTCTCTGAATCTGAATTGGTGCCTTTTCAAGCCTTGTCCATTTGTCCCTTTTTCTGTTTTCTCAGTTTTGCAACATTTGAAGTCATGGTCTGTTTGTTGCTACACTAATGATTGTTAGCTGATTTGTTTAATTATCTTAAAACATGTGCTGTAAGAATGCAATCTATTATTAACAGATATATGCCTGTATTTATGCTTCCATTTCATAGCATTATCAAATATTAATATTATGTTCATCTTTACAGAAGCAAAAGTGTGTACCCCTGGAAGACCTGGCTGCAGAATTTAGGTTGAGGACTCAGGTACATCAATCAACTCTCTACTTCTAGGCATATGAAAGTAAGAGAGTAACAAAAATAGAACACAGCTACTTAATTGAAATGAGAAAATCATAAATAGTTCCATACTCATTCAGTTACGAGCATAGAGTTGTTAGAACAGTCAGGTATTGTTTGAACATAAGTTAAACCTTTTGTAATCATTTGATTGTCTATAACTATGTTACTTGGATTTGGGTACTTGTGTAGGACACGTTAGGTGTCCAAGTGTCAGAGTCTGCCTTTTAATGAAAAGAATTCCTTTCTTTCCACTCCAAAATGAAGTATCAAGTGTCCTTGTCCATGCCGGAGTTTTAAGAATTTGATACTAGTTATTGAGGTGAATGAAGAGTCAAAGTAATACAGTTCTATATACTGTTTCTTTCGTACATGCATTCCTTGTTTTACTAGGGTATCCATCTGTTATCTAGTTTTAGATTTGTTTGTATCTATTGGTATCTAATGTTTAATCTGCTAATGCGCTCACTTGTGTTCAATACAGGAGTGTATTAATCGTATCACAGCTCTAGAAAATATGGGTACGTATTAGAATCATTCTCTTCTTTTATTCCCGCTTTATTTATGGATTTTCTTTGGGATTGATTAATAGCATATTAGAATGGAGGCTGAATCATCCTGTATATCATACGAGCCATTTTGTAGTATTTCATCATGTATGGTCGTTGGTCCCCCACTCCCCTTCTACCCTGCTAGTGCTCTTCTTTAAGCTTTATATTAGGCTTTACTATATTTCATCATGTATGGTCATTGGCCCCCCACTCCCCTTCTACCCTGCTAGTGCTCTTCTTTAAGCTTTATATTAGGCTTTACTATAGTTTTGTTTGTCAAGATAATATTGGAGTATTGAATTTTCTTTATTGATATGATGCTTGGAATTTCTTGGAGTTCTGTGCTGCATGTTAGTTCAACCCTTCAGGCAAAATATGTGATGATTGTGAATTGTCTGGATTATAGAAATTTGAAATACTACTTATGGTGCAATTTTCTTAATGAAACAATTGGTGCTTTGTTGTTTTGGTCTAAAATTGCAGGAAAACTTTCAGGAGTCATGGACGATAGAGGAAAGTACATATATATCTCACTTGAAGAAATGAAAGCTGTTGCTGATTATATAAAGCGTGAAGGCAGGGTTAGCATCTCACATTTGGCTAGCAAATCCAACCAGTTCATTGACTTGGAGCCCAAAGTCCAGTATGAGGAAATCACCAGTGTAGATGAGATTTTAGCTGTTTGATTACACACTTAGTTTATGGAATCATATTGCCCGACTGACATGATTGCAGAAGAGCAGCAGGAAATATGAAAGAAAGTACGTTACCAACTTGCTTCATGTCTGTGTTTAGTTTTGCTTGTCTGTAGCGCTATGTGATTCACATAACACAGGTATGAAACTGGGCTACAAATACACTGGGAAAAAGAAGAGAGAAGGGGAGTGATAGGGTTTGAATAGAAAAGAAAAGGACTTTAGTTAGAACCAACCTTTATATTGTAACATCAACTTAAATATGTGAATTACTGAATTACTTTTATATGGAAAAGCTTCTGCTTTTGTGCATCTTATTGTGCTGTCGTTTGCTAATTGAATGCAGCTTATGCTGATTGAGCTATTGTATTTGGGTACTCACAATTCTGCTTCAATTTTTCTTGGTCTCTTTAGGATAAGGGAAGCTTGAAGGCAAGTAGCCTAAGCTTATCTGAACTAAATAACCAATAGAGATCATCTGAAGTTACATATTTTCTTATATCAACATATCTGAACATATTGGTCTGTTTTGATCTTATTAGCACTTGCGCCCTTATTTGAACTTAGTTTTCCTGAAAATATCATATGGATGTTAAAAAGCCTAATTTATCACGAAAATCTAAACCTACTGCTTGGCTGCTTGCCTCATCGTTCTTTCTTCTGAGTCCTGTTATAGCTTGTAATCTGAGGGTTTTTTTTTTTTTTTTTTTTTTTTTTTTTTTTTTTTTTTTTTTGGTATGCTTAATAACAAAGAACTAAAAGAAGGGGAAAAGTAAAATTTTCCAGTGTTGATGAAGCAACTAAACTCTGTTGGACCATCTTCTTCAATGCTTTTGGATGCCATATTTTTTGAGTAAACATAAGACCTGAATTGAATTGGCTGAGTTTGCTATAAAGCTACACATCTATTGTAGACAGTTACATTCCGAAATATAGCATTGGGGAATCAATACTAATATTTAATAACAGGAAATTTTACAAACAATCTATACTGCCACGTGTCCCCTCCCATTATTTAACTTTTTTTTTTCTTTTTTTTATCCTTTAATTATTTTTTGTTCTTCATTTCATCATGTCGCTTCGGCGCTTCCCCTGCAAACCAAAAAAATCAGAGTTTTCATTTGTTGCTAATTGATTCTTATTCACCAACAAAAAGTCAATTTTAATGAATAATAGTTTTCGTTTGCGTCTTTTGAATTCTCTTGATTTCACAATATAATCTTTCAAGCTTTGAAATTTTTCAATATGAGATTATGACAAATCTAATTTCTCTACAAAACTCTTCATAGTTGATAGTTGATACCCATTCGCTTTGTATCGATAGTGATGTTATCCTCTTCACCCACAAAAAACCAGATTTTTTTATCTTCTATTTTCATGTTTTTTACTCACCAACAATGGTTTCCAATCTGAATATCTCAACCGAGAATGGTTTATCAGTGTGAAGAATACTGAGTCAATTGAGGAGGAGACCGGAGCTTTTATTGTGGCAACTTTGGCCGTGTCTCAAGCGCAGTCTAAGAAAGTTTACGACTTCAGAACTTACCCTTTGCCCCCAGAGACTTATACCAGAGGCGTCGAGGATGGATTGCGTGAGATGGCAAATCATGTATTTGATAGATATGCTGATAGGAAGTATTTTGGATTGAATTAGCAGCTACTTCTCTAATTATTGAACAATTTTAGCATATAAGGTCACTAGCATTTAAGTTTCACCAAGCGAAGAAGATTGTTCTCACTCTCGTCTTCAAGCAGCAATTTACTAGTCTCCCTATCTTTCTGGTGCTTTCATGTTTTGCTGCTGTTTTTGGATTTAATGACTTGTTTTGTTGGTTGGTTTTGACTTTTGAGCATCTTAATGCTTAGCTTTTATTGTGATTTGCTGTTATAACTTTGAACCTTGGTTGTAAACTTGTAATATGCTATGTGTTTATTTGAAACTTGTCACTGGTGTTTGTAGCTATTTAACGAAAATTTAGCTTGAAATTTTTCGAAAGATTGGAAATCTATCTATGCTAGACACTTGAGATTGAATCAGAGTAAGTAACATGACCTACAAAATCAGAAGAAAATGCAGGCCTAAACTACAAGCATTGCGAAGTGAAATGATTGAATGCTTACCTCTACTATTCTTGGAAAGCCACTCCATGGATCTGCTGGGTTATTGGCATCTGCATGCAACATACGGCTCCATGGCAATGTTAACTAGAAAATTTCGTCTGTGTTAATCTAGTTTCTTCATTGGCTAAGCTCGAAACCGGTGGAGGATATTATCTCAACCGAAAACATACTATATTGTGGTAGTATCGGCTGATCTAAAGAGCAAGATATATGACTTCAGAACACACCCTTCAAGGCTTCAACCACAAAGATTATGGATACAGCAAAAAAAACATTGTTTGCAAAACATGGCTATACTGTCATCTACTGAAGAGAAAAGGCGTTATGAATTAAATTAGCTTACTTCCCTTGAAATTAAGTTTAAGCGTTTTTAATCATGTCATGGTTTACCTTTTCATGCCTTTGATCTTACATTTTGCTAAATTAAATGCTACTAGTATGTAATGAAGAGAATGTTAGAATAATTCAAGGAGAAAATACAAATTTATTTTCATGATAAAGAAAAAAAGTTTATCTAATTTCATTTAGGTAATTAAATGTGAGCCCCATAGATCTTGATTGTCATGTTAATTTAGATTTTATATTGATTTATTTACAAAAATACCACAAGATAAACATAACTCTGTATTTGTGTATCATGAAGATAAACTAAGGCTTAATAATATAGAGTATTGTAGTAAAATTATGTCATATCTTTAACAAAAAATTCTTGCATTTCTGAGTTAAAGGAGTGTTTGGAAAACATGGAAGTTTATCCATAATATGGCTACATTAGTACATTTGACAGTTCATACCAAGATATATACTTGACAGTTGCAGCTTAACCTAGTAACACAGCCAACAATATCAGCAGCTGAAACACCCTGAACGGTAAAGTACATACACACAAATGCTTGTGAAAGGCCTTTCCATTGGGTTAAAAACAAGCAGTTTCATGTGTGCACATTTTTAGGTTTGAATTTCATTCATCAAACAATCTTCATAACAAGTGCAGATGACTGAGTGACAGCCTCATTTTTATCGGCATTTGGTATTTCGGGTAAGTATACATCTCAGTAAGACATACAAGGAAAACTACGTGATATCATTGGACAGCTGATGTCAAGACAAGTATACCTCCACACTAGCACTTTTAGGGATATTGCAGACTGGGCAGACACTAATGAATCCATCACATTCCTTGCACACACACAGGTGCCTACATGGCATCAACAACATCGACACTTCTCGGGTTCGGCAAGCTCTGCAGGCCAAATGCTCGGTACTGGGTCCAGCAATGGATTTTCCCCGTCCTCCTGCCACCGTTAGGTAATTAGTCGGGTCAATGTAAGAAGTTGCATCATCAACCTCACTGTCTCCAAATCCTTCCTTCCCTTGGTCAGCACCTTGAGAAATTGCATTCTGAAGATTGTTTTTGAGGATATTGACCATAGACTCATTGTACTTAGCTCGGTAATGCCAATTATGTGCATCTGTTGCCACCTGCTTTATTCGCTCCATAAGTTCTCTGTTCTTACGGTTTATAGTTTCCAACTCCGTCTCCTTTTCTCGAAGCTTCTTGCTTATGCCATCCTCTATAGTGTTTAAGAATGAGGCCATGTGTCTTTGCTTCATGTCTCTAACACCCTTTGCTAATTGCTCTTGCTGCTCAAATGTCAAAATGGTAAATGTTTAGCAATTCTGAACTTCCCTCAATGCTAATAGGAATATATCTAAATCTATGATTGTAGTTAGTGAGCAAAAGCAAAAATAAAACTTCCCTCAGAGACAAGCATGGTAGTCATTGCTATGCCAAACATGAATTTAACAGTTCGATGTAGAAAACAAAAAAAAAATAGTTCGATGTAGATGGATGTGTATACCTGAATTTTGATGTACTGATCAAACTCTTCCTTTTGCCGTTCAAGCTCAATCCTTATATTGTCACCAAGTGACATGAGGATGGAGGGTGTTGCTGTCATACTTCCACTAGCAGAAGTGACAGATGAGTTGGGCTCATCATCATCATATGAAAGCCTTAGCCCAGTTGATACTGGATTATGGTTTGGAATGCTAGCGGAACGGTCAACTTCATCCTGGCAGAGGTTATAATTCAATGAGATCTGGAGCTTCTGTTGCCTTGCAAGATCATCAGCCTCTCTACCTCGTTTGTTTGGCCGGAGAATAGATGAATTATGGTCATTCCCAAAATAATTTACTGGGTCAACTGTACATCCGACGGGTACTGTCAGAGGTATTCAAGTGAGAAGACAAATAAGTGGTAGCTCAGCATAAAGATAATTAATAGTATGCAACTCAAAAATCCAATCAGATGAATTATTAACAACAATGAAATTATCAGTACGGTTGGATATGTGAACCACAAAGAGAAAATATAGATAAAAACATATTTAAGAAGACACAGCAATCTGTACAGCCCAAATTCCATAAAGCACTCTTTCATGCGAGAGCAAGGTAGCCAAGTCCATATGTTAGGCAGCAGACCAAGTAACTAAACCCCATAATGTGAACCTTCTGAGCAAATATTTTAGAAGTTATTTATCATGTTGACTTGTGAGTAAATGTAACATACAATAAGGAAGGTGTATCAACTTTTCCCTCTCAGTCCATCATTGATAATATCTCATTTTCATCTGCTACCTTCATCTATTGCAGTTAGAAAATGTAACCGGTAACTCTTCTTGTTTTCGGTTACTTAACAAAGTTCCAACTTCCAAGGCACCCAATAGGCAACATCAAGCATAAAAAGTAAATAGAGCGAACTACTTTTCTTGTTTTCTTCAGGTTAAACTTCAGTGAGGTTAAAAGCTTTGCTCTAATTACCTGTTTAGGTGTTCTGACATATTGACAAATAGGTTGAGGTAGCCTATTTCGGAAACTTATGGGAATCATATCATCGGCTATTAGGCTGGACAATGACGAATCTGCTGTTTTCGAACAAGCTGAGCTAAATTGCATGTTTATCAACCTCCAAGATCAACTTCGATCACTAAAAACAAGATATACCCATCCATGACGAGGGATGGAAACAATTGTGGTTGCTACTGAGGGGAAACAGATGGAAGAGAGGAATGTATGATAGCTGATGAAAAGTAAAGAAAGCGAACAAAAAATGTAAGATGAGGAATTTACAAGTTTACAGCAAGCAGAGGGGTGGATTTTTGTAGTCAAACCTCTAGCTATACCACATGCATTTACCAAAAAATGCACAAGCATGATGCCACAACAAGCCCAAACCTCCAATTAGCTAACTGAACATGATTTATTTCTCTCTTATCATCTTAACAGAATTATCAAGGAATTCAACAAGGGTGAAAATTGGTTGTGCTGACCCAACAAGGGTGGAAATTCAACAAACGTAACGAGTACAAGATCGCAATACGCTACTTATTTATGTTAAATTAACCCAAACAGTGTGTTTCTAGCGTACTAGTACACGTGTTCAGATAGTACATTCCCAACACTGGTTAAGACTCTGTCCACTTCTTTCTTTATCTTAAGTCTATAGCATTATCTCCAGAACTTCAAGGATAACTTGGACACATACACTAAAAATGTTAAAACCTTATAATATATCATACCATATAACATAACCAAACCGTCATGCTTCTCAGACAATTCCTTTTCATGCAACTAGAGTTAAGACGATAAAACAGAAGAAGATACAAAGGCGAACAACCAAAAAAAATACTATGATAGCCTTCCAATTTCTGTCATTCTAAGGGACCTTAAGTGCCTGTCGATGAATACACGGAATAATCAAATTTGGCTCATGTAGCCGACCCCACTTATGGGATTAAGGCTTTGATTGATTGATTGAGGAACCTTAAGTGTAAAAAGGAATTAATTCATTATCCACTCATGCAACCAAGCTCCAAATACTAAGACTTGAGGCTGGAGAAGTCTATCACGTCAAACTTCCAACTACTTTATTTCCGATACCCAACTAACCCTTTCCTTCTCTAAATCTTCAAAAGTAGTCAGAAATCTAATCCTTAAATATATTCAACCCACGGGAAATAACAAAGAAAACCTAATGGAACAGCTCAGAGTAAAGTAAATGTGATGAATGCAGGAGGGGCTTGGGAAAATAATATCAGTACTTACAATTCCCAAAGAGCTGAAGTTGGTGGTTTGGTGCATTATTATTCAGCTGAAAACGATTATCATCCAGAAACATGGGAAGCGCATGATTGCTGTTGTTACCTCCATACATTTTGATTTATTAATGTGCAATTTCAGCTTAATTTTACAGGCTTCTTCCTTCCCAAATGTTTTCACAGACAAGCAGCTCCTGAATAATTTTATACAAGAATGCATATGTTAGTATAAATTCAAGATTGCTATCATAAGTAATTTCAAAACATCCTTCCAACACATCATTAACTACCGGGAGGATTTGTGGGTTGAGTCAAGCAAGATAGGTAATCAAAAAGCAATACTAAGCCTTGGCCAAATAAGAGAATTTCAATGAAAATTCTATCATGAGATAGATCAAATACGAAGTATGAGTCAAGGAATGACATGGTTTTGCAGATTGATTCAAGTTTGTAATGCATGCAAGGGTCAGGCAGTAGTATTACTAGAAACAAGTGCCATACGCTAATACTTCCATTAATTAATTTTGTCAGCATCTCTAGACCATATGAACAAACATGAAATGAAAAATCATACTTGTATATGTGTAAACACTAATTGAAGTGGTTAAGCAGTCAGTCACATGAAAGAAAATTCTAACGAGTCACAAACCCCAAAGATACTCACATGGATTGAAATCCGGTAAAGATGCTTAAATGACACATGACAAGATGTGGATTCCTAGCATGTATGCACTGTAACTAGACTTATTCCCTCCCTCAACCTTTCGTGCAAACAAATTTACAGCTTTAGCAAATCATATCTTCACTTAAGACATGAAGTTAGTCCATAATCCTGCGCACCAAAGAGAGGGAGGCACCACCCGGCAGAAAATGGTTGAACCCTGAACCTCCTCCATCCAACCCAAAATAAAAAGAGGGGGGGGGGGGGGACGAACAAAACAAAGGATCGCCAGGGTCCAGGGAAAGCTGTTAATGCCTTGATATCAAATTGGTGGCCAACTATATGAACTTCCTATTACTAAGATGTCAAAGTGTTGCTTAACACAGCAATCAAGTCACGGCTATGATCATTCAATCTCCTAAACACAAGCAAAGCCGCCCAAATTGATTGCATATCAACCAACATCAAGATGGTCTTTCCCTCTCTACATCTAGTTCCTCCTACAAAACTCATCCATTATCCCTTTCATCCATATCCTTATACTTTTCACATATTTAGGATTGACCACATATAAGGCAAGATATGAAGATATACACATCATCAGCTTTAAAAGGGAGAAAATCTACATAAATTCATCTAGTGATACAAGAATCAACACAAATGTAAGCAGATACTCATCACTTGGAATATACCCTAAAATGAAGAAACTGCTAAAATTAAGATAGATAAGGTAATTAGATGAACTTTCAAAAAAAAAAAAAAAAAAAGTAATTAGATGAACCCTAAAAAAATCCCAGCTTTTGTTAGTCAACACTCAACATGAACCAATTAACCATCCCAAATCAACCAAAGAAAAAATAAAAACAAAAAGAAAATCCTTAGATTCCCTTAAAATATAATCACAAACATAGATAAACAAGCTCATCAAAAGCAGGGATAAGAAGAAATTAGTTTATTTTATAATTAACAATAAAATAAATTGATTACCTTTAATAATTAATCTCCTTTGAATTCAACTTCAGCAGAAAACCCAAGAACAGATCCTGCCATTTTCAATACACATCAACAAAATTAGGGCACACCCCATCAAATAAAAAAACCTAAAAATGAGCTTCATCCCATAAAGATGAAATCTTTACCCAGAAAAAATAAATCAACAAAGAACAAAACAAGTTAAAATGAGCTAGAAAAATCACAAACCTGGAAAAATGGGTATGAAATTATTTACAGAAAGATAAAGGAGAGAGAAAATTGATCAAGAAGAAGCGTGAAATGCCATAAATAAGATAGGAGAGCTCATAAATTATGCACCCAGAAAAATGAAAGAAAAAATGGGGGGACAACAAAATATGGAAAAAAGAAAAGGGAAAAAAAAAAAAGGGAGAGAAATGAATTTGTGGGAATTTTAAGGTGAAGAGAGAGAAAATGAGAATAATTGAGAGTGTGGAAGAAAGAAAAGGGGTGGGAGGTGGTGCAGGTGCTCGTGCTTGTGTTGCCGTTGTGTGTTGGGTAATGGTACTGGTTTTACGCAAACTCAATTCTTTCTTTTGAATTTAGCATAAAAATAAAATACACTAAGAAAAAGTATTGTACTGTATTGTTTAGTTGGTACACAAACTACATGATGATAAATGAGTAGAATAGTTGGTATAGACTTAATGTGAAATTTGATGAATCAATAACATAACATAATATTAAAACAAAACTTTCTAATATTTTATTTTTTTCCCTCCAAAACTTTCCCTCTTTTTAGAAAAAATATTTTACTTTTGAAATATTTTATATTTTTATATTAAAATTATAATAATATTATTTCTAATATTATATATTAAAACTTCCCCTCCAAAACTATGATTGTATTCCTTTTTATTTCGTATTTTATCTACTTAAATTAGTTATATAAGATTTTAAAACCTTTTAATTAAGGGAGAATAAGCTATAATTTAGATGGTTGAAATATGAGGGAGAATATAAAATAACGGAGCCAAAAATACAATATTAATATTTTAATTACCATTATATATATATAGTTGTACAATAGTGGGGTTCAATGGAGGAAAAAAAAATCTGAATTAGTTTTTTGTTAAATATTTTTGTGATAACTTATCAACTTATAACTTTTTTTTCCTTAAAAAAATCTATTAACTATTACTAAAAACAGGTCATGCTTACATCAATCATTTTGGACATATGTCAAGCTATCATTAAAAAATTCCGGAATACAATATATGACGTCAAAAGTTTAGCCTAGTTTTTGGAAGTATATTTTAAAACTTTTTTTTGAACTAAAAAAAATATTTTTTTTTACAAATATTATACTTAACTTATTTTTTGGAAGTATATTGTATAACTTTTTTTTAAAATAAAATTAATTCATTAAAAAGTCATACGGCATCCACATTGTATATTTTATTGGGAATAACATGCATTATTAATGTAATATAATGTATACTATTTTTAAATATTTTTAATACAACTAAATAACTAATCAACAATAATTTTTTTTTTTCTCAATTATAATTTTTACCTTATTATTTCATTTTTCTTATATGCATTGCATTTTTGTTTATTCTACATGAATTGTCTCACTTTTTATATTACATCACAAATTAATTATGGGAAAAAATATTATTAATACCGTAAATCGTACGGGCACTAATCTAGTTATGAATATGACTCGATAAAGTTTTTTCTTTGAGAATTTTATAAATAAAAATAATACGGAGTAATAAATAGTTTAGGTATGTTATCGTTAAATTAAAAAGTTGTGTACGGAAAATAATTAACAATTTATGTTCTTTAGGTCTTTTTTGTTTGCTTGAAATGACATAAGGAGAGTTGTTAGATCGAGATTGGTTTGCCTTTTTACCGCTATGTATGCATGCTAGAGATTAATTGCCGAATGTATCTTAGGCTCATAACTTCAAGAAGACTACAAGAAAAAAGGAAATCAAATTAAACATAATATAGGTTCAAGTCATATAAGCAATCCGACAAAAGTTAATCATATTTACATATCTACAGAGTTCTACTAGACTTGTAATTTGTTTTACCCATCAAAACAAGGTTAACCCCCACTGCAACCATGGGATTAGAGAAGTTAAAATATCGATATTTGCCTAGGTTCAATAGACGTCTTGGCCTATTAATTCCTGATCCGATCTAGTAATCCAACCCGACCCAATCTGATTTCAAACTTGTGTTGCTGAGAGATTATTCGAACCCAGCTCAGCCCAAATGACCCAAAACTAACCCGATTTGACCCAATCATCATATTTTGTAATTACCCAAACAATTCAAACCATTCTAATCAGACGATTCAAACGACTCGAAATTTGACCTGAACCCGACCTGTTGATCCGAATTGACAGGTCTAGATGTCTTACGTATTTGCTTAAGCATAGTAACATCTTATCAATATACATCTTGTTGTTTCCATTTTGAAAACATTTTCCCACATTGGGCCTTTCATGAGTAACATAAATCTTAATTTCTGTAAAATCAATTGATTAAGAATTTGAATTATATGAGTAGTGTTATATTAAAGAACTACACTTGTCTAACGTCAATATATATAGGTTAGTCTACGAGAAACCATGATTGTTACCTTGGTATCAATGAACTACACTTTTCAAAACTAAAATAACTCAGATAACCTAATCCATACTCAAACTGTGTCCAAAAACTAAATGATCCAAAACTAACCTTACCCATAGAAAATCTGCATCTTAAATTAAAGATATTATTCTTAGCTCGGTGAACATGAATCCACGTCAATTTTTTAATGTAAATTTGGTGGTAACCTAATATGAGTACGAAATGTAACAAGTGATAAGAAATCTAGAATCATAAAATAAAATGCGCATTCGTGGTAATAAACAAATGGAATATGTTCCTAACATGATTAAGGGTATGCTCTTGTACAAGTCGTAACTTATTATCGTCAACCTCCCATATCGTCCCTCAGTGTTGCCCCATTCTCAAATTGATCAGGATAAAGTAAATATTAATAGGAAAATTTAACAACAACAAATCAACCTATGAGCGGTTCTCTCATAATGGACCAACCTTTAAATCTTCCCAAATTAAACACAAGTTTTATTTTATTTTTTTTTCCCAAAATGAACCCAACAGGTCACCTTACCTGTTATACCAGGTAAAAATCCACTTATCATTAAATCATTGGCTAATTTTGTTTTTGTTTTTTTTTTAATTTTTTAATTTTGACAATTTTTACAAAAAAAATATAAAGAAAAAGAAAAAAAATAAATTAAAACCACCCTTTCCCACCACTGCCAGCCCCCCTCCCCACCAGTCACCCCTTTCCCTACCAGCAGCCAACGCCCAACCAATTCCCCTGACGTCGGCGACTTTCAACGCCACTGTAATTTTCGCCACCTACACCTTAACCTTCACCACCATCACTTCCACCCATTGCACCACCACCTATGTACACCACCAACAACCATAACAACCAACAAAACCACCATACCAACCCTCCGAAACCACTATACCAATCCACCGAAAACACCATACCAATCCACCCCACTACCACCAAGATCCAAAAACCCACTTCTTTCACCATTACCACCAAGATCCAAAAACCCATTCCTACCCGATAGCGATTTGGTCGAATGGTTTGCTTTGCTCCGAAAGCAAGGGGAGTGGGGCCAATGGAGAAGGGGGTTTGCTCCGGCGAGCAAGAGGTAGTTATAGGGGGTTCCGGTGGTGGTGGGAACTGGTTCACGTGGGAGATCGGAGGAGGGAGAGGGATTGATTCTTTTTTTTTTTTTTTTGTACTTTTTATAAAGGTTTTTAATTAAAAATAATAATAATTAAAGAAAAATTTAAAAAATGACTGGTTGTACAGGTCGCCGGTCATTTGGGTTCATTTTGGAAGAAAAAAATGAAACTTGTGTTTAATTTTGGAAGATTTAAAGGTTGGTCTATTATGGGAGAACCGCTCAAAGGTTGGTTTGTTTATGTTAAATTTTCCAAATTAATACTACTTTGTTTTTTTAATTTTTTTTTTTTTTTTTTAATTCATGCATCATTTTGACACCTATGTGATAAATTGTTTTGTAAATTGTGCTTACTTGTTGAAACCCCTATGTATTCCCGCATAAACAACTTCATGTGATTTCTAGAACTTGTTTGGTTGGTAGTAAGGATTTACAATTAATGGAAATTAAAATTACTAAGGTAATTTATTTCTCGGTTTTGTAAGAAATGAAAATTCCCATGTATTTTGAATTCTCCCACTCGTGTATTTTATTGTCAACTAAACAATAAGCTCTTATACAAATTTATAGAAATTTTCAACTCTCATATTTTAAGCACAAATTCTTATATATGGCTAGTCACACCCCCATCATGGGGGTTACTTCTTTAGCAAGGGCGGAACTAGAAATATATATTAAACGGGGTCATAATAAAAAATTTGTACTTTTAGAGGGGGCCGAATATCTAAATTAACCTATTTTTAGCAAAAATTAACAATTTTTTTTACTTATTTTTAAAGATAATTAAAAATTAACGGGGGTCATGACCCCCACCGGCCCTGTTCATTAGTGTTACAAGGGTTTCTCAATAAGTATTACAAGGGTTACTTCGTCAATGATATAGAGGTTACTCAGCTAGTATTATAGGGATTACTTTATTATCTTACAAGCGATAACGTGGTATGGCCAGACCAACACAGAAGATGAACTGATGTTTCAAAGCCCTTTTTTTTTTAATCAAATAAGATTTTTCTTTATACATTCTTGATTGAGAGTAGTCAACTAGACTCTAGATAATTCCCTCCTAATTGTTCACCCCAAATAGTCGACAAGCAACTCTCTAGATTTAAAGATTCATAATAATCCTAGATCATTCTCTTATAATGACGATGAAATTTATTTATATATTTAATTAAATTCTGAAAAATTAAGCAAATTGTTTGATTTGGGGAAAAGGTAGGACCCACCACCGGCAAAATTCAGGAATCGCGCTCATCAGTCATTAACTACTCACATCAGTCATCACGCTGCCCACCCTCCTTCTCCTTCTCATCTTCCCTCCCTTCTCGTTTTCCCACCAATTTTTTCGTCTTTTTCTACCTTTCTTTTTTTTAGATTTCCTTTTGAATTTTCTACAATCATTATTTATTTATGTAAAAGTGATTTTACAAATATACCCCTATACCTCAACTCCCAAGGTTTGATTCCGAATCCTGACACTTTCCACTTGCTTGTCGTCTTCTTTTGACCTATACTTAAAGGGTATTTCCGTCTTTTCACCTCATGAAAAGAAAATAAAAATAAAATAAACAATTTTGTTTAAAAAAAATGTTTTAGTTATTTTTAAATTAATTTATTAGGTGAGGTGGAATGGATACGAGTAAGCACGATAATAACGTGGGTAAAGTTAATAGGGGAGATTAGTGAGTGGTTAAGAAGGTGGGTTATGTAAATGTGGCATGATTTTTTATGATAAAAGTCAATTGCATCCAACTAGATCATAGAGAAAGAGAATATGTTCATTTTGGACCTGCCCAAATTCATGT